AGGGGACATGAACACACTAGAGGTGTAGAGTCATAGAAATCAGTTGTAGAACAGAACAGGACAAAAATAATCAATGACAGATGTATAGAGAGAAAGCAGAGAAGAAGAGAGAGAGATGGGGAGGGATAGATGGGGAGAAGAAGAGAGAGAGAGATAGAGGGACAGAGACATAGGAGGTACTCACAGCGTCAGACATCCTCCCTGTTATCGCTGAGTAGTTCCCTGGGTCGTTAGCTTCATCGCTGCGGTGACATTGCTACAGCCGTTTCACCATGGCACCCAGGGGTAAGCAGGGTTTGGCTTGTGCTTTTACTGCCTGCCGCTGTCGTTCCACTACTTGTCCTCCACTCTCTTTCCTTTTCTCTGTTCCTTCTCCACTCCCTCCCCCTACCTCTGCTTCTCTCTCTCTCTTTCACGCACGCTTGATGGGAGAGTCCTCTGCAAGGTCTTACTCTGTCTTTCACTGTCGGTGAAGCATGCCTTCTCTCCCTCCCTTTCTCCCTCGCTCATTCGCTATCCATCTCTCTCTCGCTGGCTTTCAAGCTCTAGGACTTGCTCTCCTTCTGCTGTATCCCAATCTCTTTCCGTTACTCTTTCACCACTCTTTTTTTTGTTGCCTCCTGGTCTTCCACCCTTTCACTTTCTCTCTCACTGCAGTAGACACACCACACACACTCTCACACCCACAAAGTCAGAGATGGGGTGACAAAATAAGAGCGATAGAGAGGAAGAGGGAGAGAGCTGTAGCCAATAGCGAGAGAGTGGAGGAGCGCTAGAAACAAAGGGTAGAAATAGACCCGGAGAGATGGAGATAGGGCCAGAGACACACAACCCCACACAGAGACCTATGACTTCATCAATTCAGACCCACGTCATGTGCAGACACATACATACATGCACATGTACGTGCACACGCAGAGACTTGCTGAGTGCTCCAGATATAGACCCATGACTTCATCGACCATCTAACCCCCCTTTCAGAGACGGGGGCTCGTTCATATTGAATCAGAGAAAAGGGGGGGGGGGGGGGGGGGGGGGGGGGGGGGAGGGAGGGTGGGGGGAAGGTTTGGGGGGGGGGTGGGGGAAAGAGAAAGAAGGGAACCCGGGGGAAGCTTTTGGGGGGAGGAGAAAAAGGGGGGGTAAAAAAAGTAAGGGGGGGGGGGGGGGGGAAACAGGGGGGCAAAAAAAGACTACGGGCCCCACAAAAAGGAAAGGAAAAAAAAAAGGGAAAGGGGAAGGCCAAACCAAATGGGAAAGGGGAGCCAGAAAGGAGGGTTTTGGGGAAACCCCAAAAGGACGAAGGGAAAAAGAAGAGAGAAAGGGGGGGGAAAAGGGAGAAAGGGGAGGTGAGAACAGAGAGAAGAGAGAAAGAGAAGCCCACGAAGTAGAAACCCGAGGGAGGGGATCCGAGGGGAGAAAAGCAGGAGAAAGAGAGAAGAGGAGGGGAGGGGAGAGGGGGAGGGGAGAGAGAGAAAAAAGAGAGAGAGAGAAAAAGAGAGAGAAAAGAGAAAAAGGGGAAAAGAGGAGAGGGGGAGCGAGAGGGGTATTGGGTAAAAGTAGGAGACGAGGAGATAAGGGGTGCTCTTATCCCAAAATTTTAATCCCCTTTCCCCTCTCTCTCTCTCTCCCCTTTTCCTCTTTTCTTTTCTCTCCTTTTTCTCTTCTCTCTCCCCTCTTCTCTCCCCCTGCCCAGCCTGGCCAAGACAATCCCTACACAAACAAACTTTCATCACAGTCTCACACCGTCAGCCCCCAAAAGCCCCCGGGTAGGTAGGAGGGCGGCTGGAGTTTCTTGACTGTCCCGCCTGGAAATGACACATCATTGGTTTAAAAGAATGGGAAAGGGAAAAAACAGCAGAGCCTTGCTTACAGTGCACTCTGGGGACCACTCTTGTACCCAGGTGGCGGGACGGGAGCATTTGTGCAAAGTGCACTCTGTCCCTTACATGCATAACAGATACACTCTCAGTGTACTCCATTTTCCACTCCCACCTTCCCCCATTCTCTCTCTCTCCCTCTCTCACCAAGCAGCATAAAGATAACATTAAAACAGCATAACTTAGTCATATCCACAGAGAAAATGCTAGGACGATGCTAGTCAGAGAACGTTGTAACAAACGTTCCTCCATATAGAGATGTCAGCTTGCATAATATGCAGTGAATACCTTCTGCACTTTAATTTCCCATGCATTCCTATAGCATTGAATACAACCAAGGGCATAAAAACAAGCATCATGAACAAAACTTGTAGATGCATAGAATAGTGTTATGATTTAGCAAAAGCAGGTGTAATCATGTACAGGAAGAGAACGAGATGGAGGGAGAGATACAATAGATGTGGGGAAGAAGAGAGATGGAGGGAGAGATACAATAGATGTGGGGAAGAGGAGAGATGGAGGGAGAGATACAATAGATGTGGGGAAGAAGAGAGATGGAGGGAGAGATACAATAGATGTGGGGAAGAAGAGAGATGGAGGGAGAGATACATAGATGTGGGGAAGAAGAAGAGAGATGGAGGGAGAGATACAATAGATGTGGGGAAGAAGAGAGATGGAGGGAGAGATACAATAGATGTGGGGAAGAAGAGAGATGGAGGGAGAGATACAATAGATGTGGGGAAGAAGAGATATGGAGGGAGAGATACAATAGATGTGGGGAAGAAGAGAGATGGAGGGAGAGATACAATATATGTGGGGAAGAAGAGAGATGGAGGGAGAGACAGACAGAGAGAATGGCAAGGAAGGCAGAGTTGTAGAGAGGAAGGAGAGAAATAGGAGAGTGGTGACATGGTGCGAGGTTGCCAGGGCTGACCCTCACATCCCTCCTCTACTACACACTTTTCCCATTACCTACAGACAGCCTCTGGAAGCTTGATAACCCAGAGGGAGAGAGGGGGAGGGGCGAAAGAGGGGGTGTGGAGAGAGCGGGGGAACGTATAAGGTAAGAGAGCGAGAGAGAGAGAAAGGCGTGAGAGAGAGAGAACAGAGGGAGAGAGAGAAAGGAGGGGGAGAGAGAAAGGAGGGAGAGAGAGAGAGAGAGAGAGAGGAGAGAGAGAGAGAGAGAAAGGAGGGAGGGAGAGAGAGAAAGGAGGGAGAGAGAGAGAGAGAAAGGAGGGAGAGAGAGAGAGAAAGGAGGGAGAGAGAGAAGAGCGTGGAAAAGGAGAAAAGACAGAGAGGTGAGAAAAGCTAGCATGTAGAAATATACTTTTCCCATGGAACACAACTGCACATTCTCCACATGACAAATGTCCAGCAAATGCAACACAGTTAATCCAAAGAATCAATACATACCGTACCACTACTGCTTCTTAATAAAACAACCAGACATTCATAGCCACAGAAAACCACCGTACCAGAACCAAAACCTTTCAACATATCTCTGGAGGGTCAAAATGTGCACACTCCTACAGAACGCTACCTTAACCAAGACTGAGCCCTGGGGTGTGAATATCATTGAAGGAACCAGGTTTCTCTGTCCAACCACAATTACCAAGTCTGCCTGAGTCAGCAACAATACCAGCTCAATATGGACAGGTTAAGACCATGTCACACCATAGAATGATGGAGAGGTCCCCATCTCCCCAATGTGGATAAACCAGCCAATACATGTCGGTGGAAACACTCTGTCCTTGTACAGTTTTTTATTCTCTTTAAAACATACCCTCGGAGTAACTATTACAAGTGTAATATAGCTGGAATAGAGGTGTATGTATTACACAATAGCAACATAGAGGCAATATTTATCTCAATGCTCTCCAGACACTCCCACAACCCCCTGCTTTACAGGATATTCAGTAGGTGCTGTCAGCCCAACGCATCACTGGGGGCACACTGCCTGCCCTCCAGGACATCTACAGCACCCGGTGTCACATGAAGGCCAAGAAGGTCATCAAGGACCTCAGTCACCCGAGCCACGGCTTGCTCACCCCGCTACTATCTAGAAGTACAGGTGCATCAAAGCTGGGACCGAGAGACTGAAAAACTGTTTCTATCTCCAGGCCATCAGACTGTTAAATAGTCACCACTAGCCAGCCTCCGCCCAGTACCCTGCCCTAAACTTTAGTCACTGTTACAAGCTGGTTACCACCAGGTACTCAACCCTGCACCTTAGAGACTGCTGCCCTATGTACATAGTCATTTAATACGGGTCACTTTAATAATGTTTACATACTGTTTTACTCACTTCATATGTATATACTGTATTCTAGTCAAGGTTCATCCTATATAACTGTTGTACACACCTTTTCTATTCATATGCTGTCCATAATGTCTATACACACAATCCTATACAAATACACTCAGTGGCCAGCTTATCTAGTTCCGAGTCGGACCCCCCTTTGCCTCCAGAACAACCTGAATTCTTTGGGCATGGAAACGTTGGTCAATTGGTATCAAGGGACCTAACGTGTGCCAGATATTCAGGATATTCACTAGGTGCGCTACTAGGTGTAATACATCTGTAATACAGTATATTCACTAGGTGTGGTACTAGGTGTAATATGGCTGTAATACAGAATATTCACTAGGTGTGCTACTAGGTGTAATACGGCAATACCGGAGGATATTCACTAGGTGTGCTACTAGGTGTAATACGGCTGTAATACAGAATATTCTCTAGGTGTGGTACTAGGTGTAATATGGTTGTAATATGGTACTAGGTCTAATATGGCTGTAATACAGAATATTCACTAGGTGTGCTACTAGGTGTAATACGGCTGTAATATAGGATTTTCACTAGGTGTGGTACCAGGTGTAATAAGGCTGTAATACAGGATATTCACTAGGCGTGGTACTAGGTGTAATACGGTTGTAATAAAGGATATTCACTAGGTGTGCTACTAGGTGTAATACGGCAGTAATAAAGGATATTCACTAGGCATGGTACTAGATGTAATACGGCTGTAATACAGGATATTCACTAGGTGTGGTACTAGTTGTAATACGGCTGTAATACAGGAGTATGATGTATCTCCCTTTATAAGACCCCCCCTCCCGTCCTCCTCACCTGTCGTGGTCTCGGCCAACACCCCACACACGGATACTGCTGATTGGCTGAGAGTGGAGCAGGCTGTGGTCATCAGGGTCAACCAGGGTCAGATCACGGTCCTGCAGCACCAGCAGCATGCCCTTACCCTGATGGGACGATCAATACGTCAATACATCAATCAATGCGCCCACACACGCACACACGCACACAGTGTCCTCACCTCTCCCCAGACCCCAGCGGAGTCTTGTATGTCCCTCCTACAGTAGGACAGCTGTCTGATACAGTGGTGGACAGCCACACTGCTCCTTCCCTCTGTCAGGTCCCTCTCTGCCATCTCCACCCAGCCCAGAGAACGCACCGGGAACGACTACAACACACATAGATGGATTCATATACATTTAATATAATATATACAGACTCCTAGCCAGTACCCCCGCCCACACACACACACACACACACACACTGATTAATAAACACACTTATACTCATTAGTAGGGGTGAAAGTAAAACGGTCCAGTCTGGTAAGTGAATCTGTAGATCTCTGGTCAAATGTGTGAAGAGAGGCCTTTTAACAGTGGTAGGCTATAATGCAGCAGATACCATGGGTGTGCGTTCAAGAGGTGAAAGTAAGGCGGTATGGTCTGGTATGGCATCCCGGCAAAATAAATAGTGGGGGTACGCAGTACCGGTCAAACATGAGGCTATCACAATAATTAAAACAAAATGTCAAGAAAAACACTTTTTTATCATTACAGCATGTCCGAGGCATGAAAAATGAGCGAATGGACTTGAAAACGGGTGGTATAGCCTACGCTCTAAAATGCGATGTGGTTAGATGAAAACATATACATTTTGTCAAGGCAGAGAGATGAGTGGCCAAAACCGAAACGCGGGAGGACAGTAGTGGCCAACACCGAAACGCGGGAGGACAGTAGTGGCCGACACCCGAGACGCGCGAGGACAGCAGTGGCCGACACCGACGCGCGCGGACAGCAGTGGCCAACACCGAGACGCGCACGGACAGCAGTGGCCGACACCGAGACGCGGGAGGACAGTAGTGGCCGACACCCGAGATGCGGGAGGACAGTAGTGGCCGACACCCGAGATGCGCGAGGACAGCAGTGGCCGACACCCGAGATGCGCGAGGACAGTAGTGGCCGACACCCGAGATGCGCGAGGACAGCAGTGGAGGCATACATTCTGGCCTAATGACAATCGCCAAATGTCATTACACTTTTTTTTGGTGTAACAGATGTCTCTTTCCATTCATCACTGTTTTAAGGCTGGAAATATGTTGCGAGTGGCTGAACGTGTGGGTAGCCTAGTTAAAGAGCCCTTTGATGTTGTCCTCTGTAGCTCAATTGGTAGAGCATGGTGCTTGTAACGCCAGGGTAGTGGGTTCGATCCCCGGGACCACCCATACGTAAAAATGTATGCACACATGACTGTAAGTCGCTTTGGATAAAAGCGTCTGCTAAATGGCATATTATTATTATTATTATGTGATTGTTTGACAATCAGATGAAAACATCATGACTGGTTGTGTTAAAAGTTAAATGACAAATGGTTGTGTTGAAAGTTATATGACAAATGTTTACGACTAGGCCCACAGAGATCCTATTGAATTCATAGAGATTCTATATGTAATTCTATGATTAGGCCCCTAAACATTTTTGGTGCATGCGCAAGCGACAGTTTATAAAATATAAAGGCTGTGGTTCAGTGCATCCCAGGGCTTTGACAGAGACAGAGACAGAGAGAGAGGGAGTGAGAGAGTGAGAGAGAGAGAGAGAGACACAGAGACAGAGGGAGAGGGAGAGACAGAGAGAGTGAGAGAGAGAGAGAGAGGAGAGAGAGAGAGAGAGAGATAGAAAGCCCAGAGCCAGCCCTCCCTCTACAGAGCACCACAATGTATTCTTCTTCTCTTTAGGGACAGACCCCAGGCTTTTGTTCTCACTCTCACACACACATGGACAAACATGCACACAGACTGACACACAAACAGGTGTGTATGAACACACAGAAATGCATACAAGCAAGCAAGCATGAACGCACTCATGCACCGCACACACACACGCATGGACATACACACATGAACACATTATCCGTTAACGTGTGAAACGTTCAACAGCAGTTCTCCATCTGAATGTTTCCAGGTACATTAGGCCTAACTGTTTGCTCTCTAAATCCTTCCTCCTCTTTTTCTTCTCCCTCTCTTTACCTTCTGGTCATTCTCACTCAGAAACCGTATCAACATCAACAACAACAACAACCTCATCAAACTATGATGCTATTATAGTTTTGTTTTGTTTTGATATTAGCTTTCATTTCTATTCGTTTTTCTCAAAATTCAGTTTAGTTTCACTTATTTTCCCTACTTGATTTACTAGTTTTTATCCAGTTTTAGTTTGATAAAAACCTTTCTATTTCGTTTTTATATCATTTAGTTTCAGTTTTAGTTTTAGTATTAGGGACAGAAAGTAGCCTATATATGAGAGGCCAGTACCCATGTGTGTTGTAGGTTCTATTTCCTGTTAGCTAGTGTTAGCTAGTGTTGGCTAGTGTTAGCTAGTGTTGGCTAGTGATGGCTAGTGATGGCTAGTATTAGCTAGTGTTAGCTAGTGATGGCTAGTGATGGCTAGTGTTAGCTAGTGTTGGCTAGTGTTAGCTAGTGTTAGCTAGTGTTGGCTAGTGTTGGCTAGTGATGGCTAGTGTTAGCTAGTGATGACTAGTGATGGCTGGTGATGGCTGGTGTTAGCTAGTGATGGCTATGGAATCCCAGACCTAGAGAAACAGCACTAGGTCTGGGGAGGATCTCAGATTCTCTTGGACATAAAAAAAAAATTCCAGGAAGGATCGGTCCTCTTCAGACAGACAACACTCCCAACAAATCACGGGTAGGCGGGCAAAGCCTGAAAATCTAACTCTTTCAGTAGCCTGTAGGGAGACATACAGTCTAAGAACGTTGCCATTCGAAACCAAAACCTTCGCCGTGGTTTTAGTGAATGTAGATGTACAATCTAGCAAAATGCTCTCATAAAAAATAACCTCCACATTCTACATCCTGCTAGCTAGCAAGCTACAACCTTGTGTCCAGTGGGGATGTTTACGCTAGGGCAGGGATGGACAACTTTGATGGGGGCCACAAAAATTCTGAACTCATCATTTACATTTACGTCATTTAGCAGACGCTCTTATCCAGAGCGACTTACAAATTGGTGCATTCAACTTATGATAGCCAGTGGGACTTTTTTTTTTTTGGGGGGGGGGGGGGGGAAGGATAACTTCTATACTATTCCAGGTATTCCTTAAAGAGGTAGGGTTTGAAGTGTCTCCGGAAGGTGGTCAGTGACTCCGCTGTCCTGGCGTGTCGTGGGGGAGCTTGTTCCAGGGCAGCAGTGGCTCGTGGGTCTGCTTCGTACCCACATCCATACCCACACATGCAGTCATAGCCGGCCTAAAAAATCTATAACATGTTAGCTGACATGGACTAACTGAGTTACTGTCAGTGACTGACATAAGAGAAAAACTGCTGATGCAAAACCACATTTCGAAATTGCACCTTGTGCATTCTACTATTCTAACTCTCAACAGTAAGTTGAGACCCCGACTGAGTTCCACCTCTGCTAGGGCAACTACCGGATAAGGCAATGACGTCACCAGATAAGGTACGGTCTTCCTTGTTCCAACTCCTCCTCTCTGTCCCAAGCGATGCAGGTACTTGTACAGATGTGTATGCTGAAACATTGTTACACTGTGCGAGGCAACCCATCTGTCTACAGACTATGTAGCTAGTGATAGTGATGCACAAGCTAGGCCTATTTGAAACATCGCCATCTCCGAGCAGCATTTACCTGCTTGAATTTTTTATTTTATTTTTGCCCTATGAGAAAAAAAAACTGAACATAATTTATGATGACTTTTATTTTATTTTAGGTCATTTTGGAGTCAAAGATAATAGTTTCAGTATAGTTTAAAACATTTCTTAATTATTTTATTTCAGTTTATTAAATATATTTTTCATGATTCGTTTTAGTTTCAGTTTTAGTTTACTATAATAACCTTGCTATGACATCACCCCCCACCACCTCTGTTGGGGAGCATGTACATTAACCAATTATCCAGCAGGGGGCACTTAAACCTGCCATTTAGTAGCAGAGCCTTGGTACAAGGCAGTAGTTCACTAAACTACCACTAGGTGGTACTGCTACAGAATCTCAATGGACAGCACATTACATCATTCCATCCCTCCCCTTCCTCTGGATAGGTGACAGCATGGTTAGTATTCCATTGTTGTCCTCTATCCAACCTTGTAAAATCAGTGATTAAGGAGGTCTCACCTGTCCCTCTGGGTCAGTGTAGGCACTGTTGAGGTCCACTGTCTCTAACTGGGCAGGGCTACAGACGGAGAGATAACCATGAGCAAAGACATTAAAGTGTGTGTGAATGACTGAATAATAATGAGAAATGGTCAGGAGAAATGTGACGAATGTGCTAATCAGAAATCCAGGCTATGCTGAATGTCTGGTAAGCAATGTTGTTGAATACTGGGAAAGGGAAAGGGGGATACCTAGTCAGTTGCACAACTGAATGCATTAAGGGCTGCCTTAATCGACTGTCTGTGTGTTTTATGGTGTGTGTCTGTGTGCGTCTTACTGCAGTCTCAGTGAGGCGTAACGAAGAGTAGCTCCTTCAAAAGCTTTCAGGCTGGGGTCAGGATAGACTGGGTAGTCCTTCAGCTCCTAGATAGAAAGGGGATCAAAGAGAAAGAGAGAGGGGGAAGAGAGAACGAGAGAGAGATAGAGAGCGATAGAGAGAGAGAGAGAGAGAGAGCGATAGAGAGAGAGAGAGAGAGAGAAAAGAGAGAGAGAGAGAAAAAGATGGAGAGAGAGAGGGAGAGAGAGGAGAGCGAATAGAGAGAGAGAAGAGATAGAGACGGAGAGAGAGAGAGGAGAGAAGAGAGAGAGAGAGAGAAAGAGAGCGAGAGAGAGAAAGAGAGCGAGAGAGAAAGAAAAGAGAGAGAGATACATTAATATCTAATAATAATAATAATAATAATATGACATTTAGCAGACGCTTTTATCCAAAGCGACTTACAGTCATGTGTGCATACATTTTTACGTATGGGTGGTCCCGGGGATCGAATCCACTACCCTGGCGTTACAAGCGCCATGCTCTACCAATTCAGCTACAGAGGACCACATCCCTTTCATATTTTATATATATTGATAATTTTTACTATCTCTTACATATCCAAATTTTTAAGGTGCACATATGTGATTTCAGTTGTTTCTGAGCCTGTGTACATGGTGCCGTTAGTAGTGTGTAGTCTTACACTGACAGTGTAGCTGGTGTTGTCAAAGCCTCTGTCAGGCAGAGGGAGATCAGAGGGAGGGGTGGAGGAGGAGGGAGAGGAGCCGGAGGGAGAGGGCACAGGCTCCAATGAACTGTCTGATACCAAACTGCTAGGACGCTGCAGAGAGAGGTAGAAAGCGGAGGGAAGAGAGAACGACCGAGAGAGAGCGAGAGAGTGAGAGAGAGAGAGAGAGATATTACATTATCAAAGGAACTCTAGCGGCAGGACTCAGTGTACACAGAGTGTGTGTGTGAGTGTGTGTGTGAGTGTGAGTGAGTGTGCGTGAGTATGTGTGAGTGTGCGTGCATGTGTGCGAGTTTGGCTGCGTTTAGACAGGCAGCGCAATTCTGATATTTTTCTCACATCAGATCTTTTTCAGAGCTGATCTGATTGGTCAAAAGACCAATTTGTTAAAAAAAGACCAGAATTGGACTGCCTGTCTAAACACAGCCTTTGAGTGTGTGTGTGTGTGTGTGTGTACATTATGTGTGTGTGTCAGGCCTCACCTCGCTGGGGGGTCTCAGGGTGACTGTGTCGCCCTGCTGTGAGCCAGGGTGTGGGTCGAGGTGTGTCGTGGCGACAGGGCGGTTGTACTGGGTGGTGCCAGTGGGGACATGCCAGAAATAGATCTCTGATTGGTCTGTGACCTCACGCCAGCCTGGGGGAAGGTCCCCCTCAACCCACACATCTGATGTACCACACAACAACACACATTAACTACACACAGATCACATACACTGACATAAACACACACTCATATGCAGACACAGATATACGTGTATGTAGAGAGACTGACTTAGACACACACACACAAATACACGCACACACGCAAATACACACACAGAAATACACACACAGACAAACACACACACATACTAAAGTGCACACACACAACTCAGACACTCAGATACACAGACAGTGGTCTAGGTCAATTCTGAGATGGTCATCCTGTTCTGTTGTCATAGCAACCCTTGGGCTCAACTCCTGAAGTAGCACTCAGAGGACACAGGCCTCTCTGTCTCCCCTCTCTATTTTTGTTTTACCTCTCTCTCTCTTTATCTCTCTCTCTTCCTCTCCTATTTTTAACTTTCTTCTTGGTTTCTCTCCCCTTCTATCCTATCTCTCTCCCTCTCTTCCTCCAATGCCTGCAGAGTACGGTGGCTCACAGGGGTCATTAAGGATTCTGCAGTTTCGCTGAAGTCATAGTCATCAAGGAGAGACGTGCTACATTTTCAATCAAGACTGAGTGTTCTAAAAGACTTCTAACAGAAAACGAGAGAGAGCGAGATTGAGAGACTGAGTGAGAGAGTGAGAGACTAACCTGAGAAAGAGAGACAGAGAGACAGAGAGAGAGAGAGAGAGAGAGAGAGAGGGGCATACCTACAGGCAATACTATATGACCAGAGTGCTCTGTGGCTCTAAAGCAGTACACTATAGGGAATAAGGTGTTATTCAACAGTATACAGTTGAAGTCAGAAGTTTACATAAACTTGGGTTGGAGTCATTAAAACTCGTTTTTCAACCACTCCATTAATTTCTTGTTAACAAACTATCGTTTTGGCAAGTCGTTTAGGACATCTACTTTGTGCATGACCCACGTGGAGTTCCAGGTCTCCGGCAGCCTATGGAACTGCCGTTCTGCAGCCAACAAGGCAGAGTACATCTCAGCCTATGCTACCCTCCAGTCCCTCGACTTCTTAGCGCTGACGGAAACATGGATTACCACAGAAAACACTGCTACTCCTACTGCTCTCTCCTCGTCTGACCATGTGTTTTCGCATACCCCGAGAGCATCTGGTCAGCGTGGGTGGTGGCACAGGAATCCTCATCTCTCCCAAGTGGACATTCTCTCTTTCTCCCCTGACCCATCTGTCTATCTCCTCATTTGAATTCCATGCTGTCACAGTCACTAGCCCATTCAAGCTTAACATCCTTATCATTTATCGCCCTCCAGGTTCCCTTGGAGAGTTCATCAATGAGCTTGACGCCTTGATAAGTTCCTTTCCTGAGGATGGCTCACCCCTCACAGTTCTGGGTGACTTTAACCTCCCTACGTCTACCTTTGACTCATTTCTCTCTGCCTCCTTCTTTCCACTCCTCTCCTCTTTTGACCTCACCCTCTCACCGTCCCCCCCTACTCACAAGGCAGGTAATACGCTTGACCTCATCTTTACTAGATACTGTTCTTCTACTAATCTCACTGCAACTCCCCTCCAAGTCTCTGACCACTACTTTGTATCCTTTTATCTCTCGCTCTCCTCCAACACTACTCACTCTGCCCCTACTCAGATGGTAATGCGCCGTCGCAACCTTCGCTCTCTCTCTCCCGCTACTCTCTCCTCTTCCATCCTATCATCTCTTCCCTCTGCTCCCTCCAATCTCCTGATTCTGCCTCCTCAACCCTCCTCTCCTCCCTTTCTGCATCCTTTGACTCTCTATGTCCCCTATCCTCCCGGCCGGCCCGGTCCTCCCCTCCAGCTCCGTGGCTTGATGACTCATTGCGAGCTCACAGAACAGAGCTCCGGGCAGCTGAGCGGAAATGGATGAAAACTAGACTCCCTGCAGACCTGGCATCTTTTCACTCCCTCCTCTCTACATTTTCTTCCTCTGTTTCTGCTGCTAAAGCCACTTTCTACCACTCTAAATTCCAAGAATCTGCCTCTAACCCTAGGAAGCTCTTTGCCACATTCTCCTCCCTGCTGAATCCTCCCCCCCCCCCCCCCCCCCCCCCCTCCGTCTCTGTGGATGACTTCGTCAACCATTTTGAAAAGAAGGTTGACGACATCCGATCCTCGTTTGTTAAGTCAAATGACACCGCTGGTCCTGCTCACACTGCCCTACCCTATGCTTTGACTTCTTTCTCTCCTCTCTCTCCAGATGAAATCTTGCGACTTGTGACGGCCGGCCGCCCAACAACCTGCCCGCTTGACCCTATCCCCTCCTCTCTTCTCCAGACCATTTCCGGAGACCTTCTCCCTTACCTCACCTCGCTCATCAACTCATCCTTGACCGCTGGCTATGTCCCTTCCATCTTAAAGAGAGCGAGAGTTGCACCCCTTCTCGAAAAACCTACACTCGATCCCTCCGATGTCACTACAGACCAGTATCCCTTCTTTCTTTTCTCTCCAAAACTCTTGAGCGTGCCGTCTTTAGCCAACTCTCTTGCTATCTCTCTCAGAATGACCTTCTTGATCCAAACCAGTCAGGTTTCAAGACTGGTCATTCAACTGAGACTGCTCTTCTCTGTGTCACGGAGGCTCTCCACACTGCTAAAGCTAACTCTCTCTCCTCTGCTCTCGTCCTTCTAGACCGATCTGCTGCCTTTGATACTGTGAACCATCAGATCCTCCTCTCCACCCTCTCCGAGTTGGGCATCTATGGCGCGGCTCACTCTTGGATTGCGTCCTTCCTGACAGGTCGCTCCTACCAGGTGGCGTGGCGAGAATCTGTCTCCGCGCCACGTGCTCTCACCACTGGTGTCCCTCAGGGCTCAGTTCTAGGCCCTCTCCTATTCTCGCTATACACCAAGTCACTTGGCTCTGTCATATCCTCACATGGCCTCTCCTATCATTGCTACGCAGACGACACACAATTAAACTTCTCCTTTCCCCCTTCTGATAACCAGGTGGCGAATCGCATCTCTGCATGTCTGGCAGACATATCAGTGTGGATGACGGATCACCACCTCAATCTGAACCTCGGCAAGACGGAGCTGCTCTTCCTCCGGGGGAAGGACTGCCCGTTCCATGATCTTGCCATCACGGTTGACAACTCCGTTGTGTCCTCCTCCCAGAGTGCAAAGAGCCATGGCGTGACCCTGGACAACACCCTGTCGTTCTCCGCTAACATCAAGGCGGTGACCCGATCCTGTAGGTTCATGCTCTACGACATTCGCAGAGTACGACCCTGCCTTACACAGGAAGCGGCACAGGTCCTAATCCAGGCACTTGTCATCTCCCGTCTGGATTACTGCAACTCGCTGTTGGCTGGGCTCCCTGCCTGTGCCATTAAAACCCTACAACTCATCCAGAACGCCGCAGCCCGTCTGGTGTTCAACCTTCCCAAGTTCTCTCAAGTCACCCCTCTCCTCCGCACACTCCACTGGCTTCCAGTTGAAGCTCGCATCTGCTACAAGACCATGGTGCTTGCCTACGGAGCTGTGAGGGGAACGGCACCTCCGTACCTTCAGGCTCTGATCAGTCCCTATACCCAAACGAGGGCACTACGTTCATCCACCTCTGGCCTGCTGGCTCCCCTACCTCTGCGGAAGCACAGTTCCCGCTCAGCCCAGTCAAAACTGTTCACTGCTCTGGCAACCCAATGGTGGAACAAGCTCCCTCACGACGCCATGACAGCGGAGTCACTCACCACCTTCCGGAGACACTTGAAACCCCACCTCTTTAAGGAATACCTGAAAAGGATAAAGTAATCCTTCTACCCCCCCCCCCCCCCCCAAAAAAAAAAAAAAACTGGCTAGCATAAGGTGAATGCACCAATTTGTAAGTCGTTCTGGATAAGAGCGTCTGCTAAATGACGAAAATGTAAATGTAAGTCTGGTTCATCCTTGGGAGCAATTTCCAAACGCCTGAAGGTACCATGTTCATCTGTACAAACAATAGTACGCAAGTATAAACACCATGGGACCACGCAGCCATCATACCGCTCAGGAAGGAGACATGTTCTGTCTCCTATAGATGAACGTACTTTGGTGCAAAAAGTGCAAATCAATCCCAGAACAACAGCAAAGGACCTTGTGAAGATGCTGGAGGAAACAGGTACAAAAGTATCTATATCCACAGTAAAACGAGTCCTATATCGACATAGCCTGAAAGGCCGCTCAGCAAGGAAGAAGCCACTGCTCCAAAACCGCCATAAAGAAGCCAGACTACGGTTTGCAACTGCACATGGGGACAAAGATCGTACTTTTTGGAGAAATGTCCTCTGGTCTGATGAAACGTTATGTTTGGAGGAAAAGGGGGGATTCTTGCAAGCCGAAGAACACCATCCCAACCGTGAAGCACGGAGGTGGCAGCATCATGCTGTGGGGGTGCTTTGCTGCAGGAGGGACTGGTGCACTTCACAAAATAGATGGCATCATGAGGAAGGAAAATTATGTGGATATATTGAAGCAACATCTCAAGACATCAGTCAGGAAGTTAAAGCTTGGTCGCAAATGGGTCTTCCAAATGGACAATGACCCTAAGCATACTTCCAAAGTTGTAGCAAAATGGCTTAAGGACAACAAAGTCAAGGTATTGGTGTGGCCATCACAAAGCCCCGACATCAATCCTATAGAAAATGTGTGGGCAGAAGCAGCTCCATTAGGAGGAATGGGCCAAAATTCACCCAACTTATTGTGGGAAGCTTGTGGAAGGCTACCCGAAACGTTTGACCCAAGTTAAACCATTTAAAGGCAATGCTACCAAATAGTAATTGAGTGTATGTAAACTTCTGACCTACTGGGAATGTGATGAAAGAAATAAAAGCTTAAATAAATCATTCTCTCTACTATTATTCTGACATTTCACATTCTTAAAATAACGTGGTGATCCTAACTGACCTAAGACAGGGAATTTTTACTAGGATTAAATATCAGGAATTGTGAAAAACTGAGTTTTAAATGTATTTGGCTAAGGAGTATGTAAACTTCAGACTTCAACTGTATTTCCAACCAGACAGGACGATAGACCGACAGGCAGACATACAGACAGACATACAGAAAGTATATCTCCCACCAGACAGACCAACAGACAGACAGACAGACAGACAGACAACCAGCCAGTCACTCAGACAAACAGACATAAAGCCAGCCAGAAGGTATATCATATCATTGTCTCACCTATCTCCTGTGGGGTCTGAGGGGAGGGACTCTCCTGGGACAGGGTGGTCCAGCTGGAATCCTCATCCTCCAGGGGAGACTCCACCTTCGTCCTCAGAGTACCCAGTTTAGGAGCTCCTTTCTCTGGGTCCGGGCCAAAGGATGCAGGGGGGGTCTGGAGCAGGAGAGGGGTATTCTCCTCCCCCCTGGGCTGCTTAGGGGGTGAAGAGGGGGGGCGGTGGAGGTACGGGTTCTCATTGCTGGGGTGCAGCTCCACCTTGATCACTCTGGGGGGGGGGGCCTGGGCGCTCCGGGAGGGTTTGGGGGGCGTCTCAAACCCGTGTGGTTGACCCTGGCCCTGGTTTAAGGCCTCCTTTCTGCCCTGGGGAGGGGGAAAACTCTGAATCTTGTTCTCTTGGGCCCAGTTGAGGTTGTTTTGGGGGGAGATGGGGGGAGATTGGGCCCCCTGTAGAAAAGACTGATTAGCAGTTAGAGGAAGAGGGTGCCACTCCATGTAATCCTCCTGTTTTGGGGTCTGTTTTTCCTCCTCAGGTCTCTCTCTCTCTTTATCCGGGCTGACCTGATCTTTCTCAGGGCAGGGGTGCTTCTCATCCTCTTCCTCCCCTTCCTTGCTGGGAAGTTCTTCTTTCTTGTTTTCTACCCTAGGAGGGTCCTCTTCCTTCTCATGGAACTCCAGAAAACTCTTGGTCCTCCGACAGAATGGGGGTGGGCCCTGGGAGTTGTCTTTCTCCCCCTCCAGCCAATCAGTGCTGTGTATGGGAGTGATGATGTCATCCTGCTCTTTGACCTCTGTGTTGGTCTTACTCTGCTCCTGTTGCTGGGTCTCAGCCTTCCTCTGCAGGTTGGCACCGTTCTTCGCCAGCTTGGGGTTGGTGGAGAAGAATGAGGAAGAGGAGGAGGAGTAGAGAGCAGAGGATGAAGAGGACTTGGTGGGGAGGCGCTTACCACCGGTGGGGGGCTGGTTTCGGGTGGGAGGGGCGAGGGTGTCGCTCAGCCCCATGGCACTGCGTACGCTGGTCATGGCATATCTATGGCGACTCTTTGGTAAAGTGGCAGAACTCCCCGTTTCCATGGCAGTAGGGGACTCCTTTATGACATCACGACCCAGGAGTTGGTTGTAGGAGGAGCGCAGGCTGAGGGAGGTGGGAGGGGCGGCAGGGGGACCGCTGTGATTGGCCAGGCCGACAGAGGAAGGGGAGGAGCCACTGCGGGAGAGAGGGGGGGTGTGGACGGATGTCATGACTGACGAGAGGTCAAGAGGTCAACTGGAGAGGGAGAGAAAAGAGGAGAAAGGGCTCACTAGGAGTACAACAAAACACACATGCACATGCAGCACACACACACACACACACCAGCTCCAAGCTCTCATAGGAATTCAACATCTGATACTGGTGACGGCGCCCATTATCCACCACAGTACTTGAAGGAAACTTGGCCTGAGTCACGTCTTCTCCATGTGTGATGAGTTAGGAGGATTACAGGACTGGGTTGGTGGTATGAGGCAGAAACACAAGAAATGTCAGCAAACAGATGTAGGATCTTAATTTGAGCCAGTTTGCTGCAACAGAAAATGTGAATTATTATGTGGATTATTGTATGGGTTGATACATTTTTCTTAAGGGAAAAATCAAGTCTGAACTTTCACATTCTACTTTCAGAAGACTTATTAAACCTCAAATACACCTCAAGTTTAAATTTCCTGCAGGGTGATCAAATTAATATCCCACGTCTGTATGACTAAGGCAGTCTAAATGAGAAGCACATACAGTGGGGAAAAAAAGTATTTAGTCAGCCACCAATTGTGCAAGTTCTCCCACTTAAAAAGATGAGAGAGACCTGTAATTTTCATCATAGGTACACGTCAACAATGACAGACAAATTGAGAAGAAAAAAATCCAGAAAATCACATTGTAGGATTTTTAATGAATTTATTTGCAAATTATGGTGGAAAATAAGTATTTGGTCACCTACAAACAAGCAAGATTTCTGGCTCTCACAGACCTGTAACTTCTTCTTTAAGAGGCTCCTCTGTCCTCCACTCGTTACCTGTATTAATGGCACCTGTTTGAACTTGTTATCAGTATAAAAGACACCTGTCCACAACCTCAAACAGTCACACTCCAAACTCCACTATGGCCAAGAACAAAAAGCTGTCAAAGGACACCAGAAACAAAATTGTAGACCTGCACCAGGCTGGGAAGACTGAATCTGCAATAGGTAAGCAGCTTGGTTTGAAGAAATCAACTGTGGGAGCAATTATTAGGAAATGGAAGACATACAAGACCACTGATAATTTCCCTCGATCTGGGGCTCCACGCAAGATCTCACCCCGTGGGGTCAAAATGATCACAAGAACGGTGAGCAAAAATCCCAGAACCACACGGGGGGACCTAGTGAATGACCTGCAGAGAGCTGGGACCAAAGTAACAAAGCCTACCATCAGTAACACACTATGCCGCCAGGGACTCAAATCCTGCAGTGCCAGACGTGTCCCCCTGCTTAAGCCAGTACATGTCCAGGCCCATCTGAAGTTTGCTAGAGTGCATTTGGATGATCCAGAAGAGGATTGGGAGAATGTCATATGGTCAGATGAAACCAAAATATAACTTTTTGGTAAAAACTCAACTCGTCGTGTTTGGAGGACAAAGAATGCTGAGTTGCATCCAAAGAACACCATACCTACTGTGAAGCATGGGGGTGGAAACATCATGCTTTGGGGCTGTTTTTCTGCAAAGGGACCAGGACGACTGATCCGTGTAAAGGAAAGAATGAATGGAGCCATGTACCGTGAGATTTTGAGTGAAAATCTCCTTCCATCAGCAAGGGCATTGAAGATGAAACGTGGCTGGGTCTTTCAGCATGACAATGATCCCAAACACACCGCCCGGGCAACGAAGGAGTGGCTTCGTAAGAAGCATTTCAAGGTGCTGGAGTGGCCTAGCCAGTCTCCAGATCTCAACCCCATAGAAAATCTTTGGAGGGAATTGAAAGTCTGTGTTGCCCAGCGACAGCCCCAAAACATCACTGCTCTAGAGGAGATCTGCATGGAGGAATGGGCCAAAATACCAGCAACAGTGTGTGAAAACCTAGTGAAGACTTACAGAAAACGTTTGACCTGTGTCATTGCCAACAAAGGGTATATAACAAAGTATTGAGAAACTTTTGTTATTGACCAAATACTTATTTTCCACCATAATTTGCAAATAAATTCATTAAAAATCCTACAATGTGATTTTCTGGAGAAAAAAAATCTCATTTTGTCTGTCATAGTTGACGTGTACCTATGATGAAAATTACAGGCCTCTCTCATCTTTTTAAGTGGGAGAACTTGCACAATTGGTGGCTGACTAAATACTTTTTTTCCCCACTGTATGAATAAAGATACTCCGTATGGCTCTATAAAGTCCTACAGACCATCAGGCCCACAGCCACTCCTCTGGCATTGATCTGTTGCCATGGCACTCACACAAAATGAAAAGCCTCAACTATTCAACATTCTGGCAACCCATCGACCAATAGCGGAGGGTTTTATTGACGCACTCTGTGGTGTGTTTTGTAACTGTGTCCCAATACAGTAACACCCTCTCTCTCCCTTTTTGTTTCTCACATCTGGTGAATATGTCACACTGTTTAAAACATGGTGCCAAACCTATAACCTGGGTCTTATTTTCTTGACATGCTTGGCAATCATGAGGCTTACTGCTGTAAATGTATTCATCCACAACCGATACACCATGCCAAGGCTAGAGACAGGCTGTTGGAAGGTGTACCAATGCTAGGTCCAGATGCTGACAAGCTGCAGAGCAGATCCTACTCTCTAGCTGACCCTTGTATCTCCCTGGTGATCAGCTTTGTGCTGGCAACTGGACCCAGCCAGAGAAATTGTCAATTCAGATGTAATCAGGAAGAGACAGGGCTTTGAGTTTAGGGCTCAGTGGTTGGTTTTTATCATACTCTGTTCTTCAATTCAATCATACCCCTCTCCAACAAATGAACACACACACACAGACACTTGCACACACACACACGGAAGCATGCACATACACAGGTAAACAAACACAAATGCTAACTTCTTTCATGGAAAGATGGAAAACATGGACACAGCAGATTTGAAAACAAGACAAGCCCTTGGAAAAAGCAAGAGATTACATTTTAAGACAAAATATCTCCACACAATGCACTTTTTCATGAGGGCCCTTCATCCTTCTCTGGGTGGTGTTGTGGTGTCAGAGAGCACTCAGGAACTAACCTGTAGAGCTTCTGTAACACAAATAATGTCAAACAAGGTCAATCAGCCTACACCTATGATAGACTAAAATGTTACCAGATATTTAACACAAAACATGACTCATAAGGATATTTTGGCTCTCTATACGAAGTGACATTATACCTTCTGCTACTGATTTCAAGACCGTTTTTGACATTTCTCTCACTTTGCATTACCCTCATTATCCTCACTATCCTCTCACATAATAAATACCCTGGCCTGGGAAAACACCAAAACGGAGGAAGCAATTGATAAGGTAGTAACTGTGCAATATGCAAATGCACAAATGCCTGCTTTCTTTGCATAAATCTCAGAGCTGGAGAGAGAGCTGCTAGATCCAGACTGAGATAGTGTGTTTTTCCTCTGACTCTGCAAACCTCAGTTAGCAGAAGGGCATGAGACAAATACAAGAGAGATAGATATTAGAGACAGAGTGAGATAGGACAATGACACAGCAGTTTTCAGCAGGGACATTGAGTTCACATCACCACTCAGCTCAGCTGTTGTCTTACTACACACACATTGTATTCCCATCACTTTAGGTCATTCATGAGACCTTACCAAACATGGTACCACGACCCATATTAGAGGACGTCAACTATCAGTGTTGTCATTTACAGCTGAGAAATGTCTAGAAGACTGTTTCCTGGCCACAGGTTCATCTTCGACTTAGTCCTGGACTAAATAGCTTTTTCAATGGAGATTCTCAATTGAGCATGCTTTTTAGTCCAGGATTAGGCTTAATCTGTGTCTGGGAAACCAGCCCTCAGAGTTACTGCAGGAATAAGGAGCTGGCGTTGAAAGAATAATCATAGACTCCTGTAGATAACATACAGTCAGGCAGGAGATATAGCCTTCTATGTACTGTAGGTGGGACAGGTGTCAGAGCAGAACTCACGACTCACACAGGTTAGAAGTTAGTTCCGAATGCGAGAAATGTTCCTTCTAATTGTTTGGGGCACTGAGCAAATGTTAGGTCTTGCGAGCGGAAACTTGAAAGTTGTGAGAATTTTGCGTTTACAGTGAACACTGAGGCTGTACCATTACAGTTTTAGACAGTAGCCAATAGGCTATTGTGGCTATTTGAGCATAATGTAAGTCTACCAACAAAACCAATGGAGCAAATCCCATAACATTTTCAAATGGAAATAGCTTTTGATTTCTATGATATAGCCTACAGTAGCCTATATGTGGGTGTTCAATGCAGGCCTGCATTGCATGAGACTTCTAAATACGTTTTTACATTAATTCATGATTTTTTTACTTGGTCTTTAACACCATGGGCCAGATTGGTGACTGTAAATTGCATTGTATGATGGCCAGAAACCACTTTACAAAATAAAATTAATTATTATTACCATAAAGAGAATTAGACCATGTAAGCTATCCCTCTGCCTATTGGCTTACTTGCATATTCAAGCCCGTCTCCAAATAAAACACTGCCCCTTTAATTAAGACATAGCTTTTTACCTGACTGGCTTTTCAAATACATATTAAAATGTAGCCTACACGTTTGTGCTCTTGTAGGAATCAGTAACTCCCCATTTCTGACCTATACTTATCTATAACTGGGCTAATAACTAACAAAGAATATCAACAAATGTGCACACGCGCGGCTCTGCGCTCTAATCTGAACTGATCAGAAAAGCGCATTCACTCGCGGTTGATTGAAAGACCGCTTGTGGGCTACCCCCGCCAATAGAATTCTACTCCGTTGCGCTCTGGCTCTTCCTACAACAAAATCACAGACTCAATCTGGCAAAGTTAGCATTGTTTAGGTTTGTTGCATTGAAAAGGGGCTGATATAATGTTGATTCGATCACAGAAAAAAAGTGCATCTATATAGTGAAAACTAATGGGTCTTACTCAGTGAAGTTCAATCTCTTGCGTCTCTGCGCGGCATGGCATTTCTTCTGCGCCGCAGTCCCGGAGGAGGTGCGCGACCGCGCACAGCTTAGAGGGAACATTGAAGGTGAGTTCTCACAGCTTGATCAGTGTGATCGAAGAGCACACACAAACAGCACATCTCAATAGCAATAGGAGAGGTGGGTTGTTTTATGTCTTTCACACACTGTGGTGAACAGATGCTGCTATAGCATCGATATGAATATTTAAAATAGTCACCTCAAATATATCTGTACTGTAGCCTATACTGCTGAAACAGGCTTGGGCCTACTCCAGTTAAGGAATATTAAGAAATAATTGTCTTGAATTTGTGTAGGCCTCGAAGGTAGACCTAACTATTTTTCAAACGGTGTGGTAGGCTAATAACTGGAGTTTAATAATACATGATACTACACATTTCATACATATGCCACCAACATAAAGCTTCAACTAAAATGCTAGAACATTTCAACTTATAAAAGGAGATGATGTCACTAAATGGGTGGAGTGTTTGCATCCTCTTCTCGTGCCTTACATTAGCCTATACCTTTCTAACCTTATGATCCGTTCTGCAGCCTCACCTATTTCAGTAAATCAAGCAGAAATGTCCTATATTGCAAAGAGAACACCAATCTGTTGCGAATTCTGGAAACAAGCTAGAAAGGCAGTAGGCTATCGATATCAGACGCAGTTAATCTTCTGACGTCTCTCTCCCACCCAAGATTCTCCCCATCACGTCACCGCACTGGAAGGCGAACGCGCACCGCACACACAGTTTATTTACATTCATTCACTCACCGCGTTTGACAATCGTGCTTCTATGCCACTTCAACGACGACACCGATATAGGACAGAGAAGTGACGCCGGCTTTTTAAGCGCGAGTCCTCCCGTAGCTACCCGTATCAGATCACATCACATCACTCTCTGGTCTCCTCCGGTGCTGGTACCTACAGCTAGTCTCTCTGCGCCACTGCCTCCCGAGCGCCCAGGACCCAATCAGAGCGCTGGACGCTGTGTGCGCAGAGGTTCAGAAGAGACGCAGAGCTAGAGCTTCATCATAAATCTGCTATTTTGGTGTTTATAGTGGTATTCAACTGGTGTAATGAAACACTGACAATTCATCAACTCTTTTGCCTAGAGTACCATTTTGGCGTCTATGTAAAAAGTGATTGATCGAAGAAGTGATTTGTGTATATAATTTCAGCCAGAACCAGCACCTCAAGAGTGTACAGATTCCAATAAACCATTCATAATCCGGCATAACAAACAGTACCTTCAACTGTTGCAGTGGCACAGGCTATTGTCTAACTCTAGACACAGATGACGTTATAGCCTAATAGACCTGTAGCGCCTCTTCCCTTGGTGCAATGACAGAGACTATGTCATAGCTTAGGACAAAATGTACAATTTAAAATACTTCAATACATTGTCTGCACATCTCAGTGACACACAGGCCGGGTTGTAGAAAAGAGCTTCATTTTTTTATTGGTGTTAGACACCTTGTGCATTACATAGTGCATTCGGAAAGTATTCAGACCTCTTGACTTTTTCCACATTTTGTTAGGTTACAGCCTTATTCTAAAATGGATTGAATTGTTTTTTCCACCCTCATCAATCTACACACAATACCCCATAATGACAAAGCAAAAACGGTTTGTTTTTTTACAAATAGAAATTTCAGCAAATGTATAAAAAGAACTGAAATATCACATTTCTATAAGTATTCAGACCCTTTACTCAGTACTTTGTTGAAGCACCTTTGGCAGCGATTACAGCCTCAAGTCTTCTTGGGTATGACACTACAAGCTTGGCACACCTGTATTTGGGGAGTTTCTCTCATTCTTCTCTGCAGATCCTCTCAAGCTCTGTCAGGTTGGATGGGGAGCGTCGCTGCACAGCTATTTTCAGGTCTCTCCAGAGATGTTAGATCGGGTTCAAGTCCAGGCTCTGGCTGGGTCACTCAAGGACATTCAGAGACTTGTCCCAAAGCCACTCCTGCATTGTCTTGGCTGTGTGCTTAGGGTCATTGTCCTGCTGGAAGGTGAACCTTTGGCCATCGGAGGTCCTGAGCGCTCTGGAGCAGGTTTTCATCAAGGATCTCTCTGTACTTTGCTCCGTTCATCTTTCCCCTCGATCCTTTCCCAGAGCCAGCCCCTGCCTCTGAAAAACATCCCCACAGCATGACGTTGCCACAACCATGCTTCACCGTTGGGATGGTGCCAGGTTTTCTCCAGACATGATGCTTGGCATTCAGGCCAAAGAGATCAATATTGGTTTCATCTGACTAGAGAATCTTTTCTCATGGTCTGAGAGTCTTTAGGTGCCTTTTGGCAAACTCCAAGCGGGCTGTCATGTTCCTTTTCCTGAGGAGTGGCTTCCGTCTGGCCACTCTACCATAAAGGCCTGATTGGTGGAGTGCTGCAGAGATGGTTGTCCTTCTGGAAGGTTCTCCAATCTCCACAGGGGAACTCTGGAGCTATGGAATTCTTGGTCACCTCCCTGACCAAGGAGGTTGTCTCCCAATTGCTCAGTTTGGCTGGGCGGCCAGCTCTAGGAAGAGTCTTGGTGGTTCCAAACTTCTTCCATTTAAGAATGATGGAGGCTACTGTGTTCTTGGGGACCTTCAATGCTGCAGAAATGTTTTGGTACCCTTCCCCCAATCTGTGCCTCGACACAATCCTGTCTCAGCGCTCTACAGACAATTCCTTCGACCTCATGGCTTGGTTTTAGCTTTGACATGCACTGTCAACTGTGGGACCTTATATAGACCGGTGTGTGCCTTTCCAAATCATGTCCAATCAATTGAATTCACCACAGGTGGACTCCAGTCAATTTGTAAATACATCTCAAGGTTGATCAATGGAAACAGGATGCACCTGTGCTCAATTTCCAGTCTCATAGCAAAGGGTCTGAATACTTATTTACATAAGGTATTTCTGTCATTAATTTTTTATACATTTGCACAAAAAAAAAAAAAATAAAAACATTTTTGCTTTGTCATTATGGGGTATTGTGTGTAGATTGATGAGGGAAAAATGTATTAATCATTTTTTGATTAAGGCTGTAACGTAACAAAATGTGAAAAAAGTCAAGGGGTCTGAATAGTTTCCGAATGCACCACCACGTGGGTAAAGATACCTATTGTAAAGATGTTATGTATCGCTTGCTTTTATGCATCATTGGACAGGGTTGGATAGTTCAGCTCTGATAATAATGACGACTTTGTCGATAGTTCATGATAAACAAAAATAAAGGTACTTGCGTTTTTTCCATTGACATTCTTTAACCTCACTGGATGCCATGGGTAGACAAGAACAGCTCACACATACAAAGACATAACTGAAATAGCAAACTAATGAAGTTAAGATGAAACATACTCACATCAAGAGGATCAAGTAAATACCAGAGATCCTGTACTTACAATGACTTAGTAAGGCACATATTATATCGCAATACCATCTTTCTACCCATAGGGCAGTTTGTTGTACAAAAACTGGCCAAGATTGTGCCATGAGAACATTTTGTAGGAACAATACTAAAGTTATTAAAGTCATGCACCAGAGCTTTTGCAGAATTTCAGCCAGTAGTTTTTAAAGTAGCGCTCACGAGCCAAAATGGGTCCCTGAAAATTGTGTAACGTCAACCATTTCGCATGATATGTTACGTCCTGCAAACATTTTTTTTGCAATTCGTACAATATGTTAAGAATTTGTAAGTGCTTAAGATCCCAGACTGCATCTTTAAGTAAGCTAACAGTTAAAGCCATACAAAACCTTTGACATGCCTGCCTTTCAGACATATTGCTATCTCCCATACTTCCTCAAAAAATTGACCTGTGCTCAAATATACACACATACATACAAATCTAGTTAGAAGTGCTGAAAGAGGGACAGTAACCCAGTGTTTAAACATGTGACCATGCAATCCCTCTTCACCCTTATGCAATAGATAACCACATTGGTCCTCTGTAGCTCAGTTGGTAGAGCATGGTGCTTACAACGCAAGGATAGTGGGTTCAATTCCCGGGACCACCTGTATGTAAAATGTATGCACACATGACTAAGTGGCTTTGGATAAAAGTGACTGCTAAAAGGCATATATTATCATTAGTCATGATTGTGGCGCCAACTATCCCACTCCTATAGTCCACCTCACGGCGTTCCTCTCAGAGCTGGGGGTGAGGGAGGACAGCATGGGTGGGGGGCCCATGCTCCCTGTGCTCCAGGAGTGGGGGAGGGTGGGGCGACTGGAGGGAGGGACAGGGGAGGTGAGGGTAGAGAGAGGTCTACGCAGATGGTCAGCTACGGAGAAACATGGGGAAGAACGGATAGAGCGCAGGACGGCATCTTCTAGAGGGAGAGAGAAGAAGATCATTATAATATAGGACTAAGGGCATCTCTGTATTTCATTCAGATTTGTGTAAATAACATGTATCAGTGCAAATAGGCTTAAGTGTAGATCTGAAGTGTGTGTGTATTGGACTGTGTCCTTACCCTCCAGTCCAAAGGGCGGCGCCAGTAAGGTCTTGGCCTGGCTGTTTCCTGCCTGGGCTGCCCTCTGATAGAACCCTACTGCTGTTCTGAAGCACCGGGACACCCCGAACCCAGTCTCATAACACTGGCCCAGGAACAGCAGGGCCTCACTGTCCTACACATACAGACAGAGAAACACACATCAGCATCACATTACACTGAACTGAGACCAGGTTATGATTGAGACCGTGGACTATAATTACAGTTGTAGAGTTTAAGTGTAGTGGAAGTCACTCACTCCGCTCTCTGCTGCCATCTTCAGGTAGTGCACTGACTTACGGCCATCTCTGACTGGCTCCTGTGAGAACAGAGACCCCAGGTACACTTGGGCCTGAGAGAGAGAGAAAGAAGAACGAAGAAAGTTTGAAGAAAAATACCAATGTTCTCTTTTAGGCAACATCTCACACTCGCTACACATACATCGCAACACACACTCCCTCACTCCTCACCTCTCTCAGTCCAGCTGAGGCAGCCTGTTGCAGTAGGCTGATGGCTGTGTCCAGGTCTTGCTGTGTGCTCTGCTGCCCTCTGCTGTTCAGGAGGAGTTTGGCACAGCGGTACTGAGCCTGACTGTGACCCCCTGTCGCTGCCTGGCTGTAGAAGTCAAGAGCCTGGACGGGGAACATGAAGAGGGGAGTCACAAGACAGGAATTGAGTAATTGATTGTGTGTGTGTGTGCATGTGATTGTGTGCACATGTGAGTTTGACTGCATGCAAGTTTGAGTGTGTGTTTCTTACCTTCTCCTTGTCTTTGCATACACCCCTGCCTTTCTCATAGCAGACTCCAGTGTTGAACTGGGCCTTGCAGTAGCCCCGTCTGGCGGAGGCCAGGAAACAGGAGAAGGCTGCCTCATAGTCCCCAGTCTGAGCACTCTCCAGACCGATGATGTTGAGGACTACAGGACCACTGGAGTCGGCTACCTGTTGGAGGTTCTGGGCTGCCCCCGCCAGGGCGTCCTGAGGAACACAGGGGGCAAAGGTCAGGGTCAAAGGTCATCAACAGGAGACAGGCAGCTTCATCATCAGAGGAATGAATAAGCCTAAAAACTCACCTGGTCATTCTGCTGCCCAGGCTGTTCCCCGTCTCTGGTTCTGTGGTCTTCAGGGAGGGAGGACTCTGAAAATGATGACTCCTCTGTAACATGGAAAGATTCAAAAATGCATGTGTTTAGGCCTATGTTGTAGAGGTCTGCGCGGGACTGATTCCCTCATCCGTCCCACAGCGGCAGCTTTTACTACCGCACCAGCCCGCTCTCGCTGGATTACTGGGCTATATCAGCCAATATGTTAGACGTAGTTTGAAGAGAGCAGAGTTGCAGAGACAGCTTTGAGCTATGCTTTAAAGCCTACCCTTTAGGAGAGGGATGACTTTCAGACTGACAAATATGGGTGATCAACATGCATTTCTAGGCAATGTAGTAAAGCTTCTCCACCTAGGTATGCGCACGCTGCACCTTTTTCTTTTCAACGATGATTAAAAAAAATTGATTGCACCTCGACTCACGATGGTTGAGCACCCTCCACTTCTTTCCATTGTCAATATTTATTTACAGACACTGTAGTAAACTATAGCCTAATCATATTTAAGTGTATTTCCATGGAAAGATAAGTGCCACGTGATTCTCTTCCCATACATAGGAAGACTACTCTATTTCACTGACACCATATACTGTAGGCACAAGTGATCTCGCACGCCCAACTATGAGAGGAGAGCAACTGAACATGAAGCAGCAAATTCTTAAGAGTGTGAATAATGTGACAAAAAGGTGCTTTTAATACAATCTGCTAACGCATACAAAGCAAAAATATGACCGTCTCCAAATATTTTCATCCCAAAGTTGTCTGTCTGACCACCCCGCCTGCAGCGTGAAAAATGCAGAGAGCGCCACAACGATCTCTGTCGGGACCCGCAGGTCCCACGGGCATCCCCCGGGAACGCAGCCCTCCACTATGTTGCTTTATCATGTAGTCTGGTAGGCATGGATTTGTGAAAAGCATGATGTAAGGCTTTAAGATAAATATTGTTACCCTGACCAAACACTTAACATGTAAAGGTAGAATGTGAGACTGACCCGTTCCAGCAGTCAGATGGTCTTCATGAAACTGGTCAGGGCTGCTGTAGCTGCTCCTGGGCCTGCTGTGCTCCTGGGCCTGCTGGCTCTGGGGCTGCTGGCTCTGGGGCTGCTGGCTCTGGGGCTGCTGGCTCTGGGCCTGCTGGCTCTGGGGCTGCTGGCTCTGGGGCTGCTGGCTCTGGGGCTGCTGGCTCTGGGGCTGCTGGCTCTGGGGCTGCTGGCTCTGGGGCAGACAGTGCACACTCCTCCCTCTGGGCAGCACGTAATGGCGAGACACTGGACAAACACAGTGGGAAGGAGATCAGACTCATTCTGCATTCATGTACTACCAGAACGCTTTGAAATTGAGCAGAGAAATTAGCTTCAGAGTTTCCTCGTCTGAATGTCACAGCTCAATATAATTTACAGGATGAATTGCTTGGGATTATAGTGGGTCTCACGTCTCTCCAGTAGGAAACGGTTGCCAAACTTCTGCAGGGTTCCCTGTATGGCCAGGCGTCCTGTGTTGGGGTTCTGGTTGGGGTTGGGTTCACTCCCAGAAAACTGAGAGTGGACCCTCCTACAGATCTGCATCAACAGCACCGCAGCTTCCCCCTAAAGAGAGAGATCACAGGTCATTGTATTTTTCCAAATGTGCCATGTGCTTTATATTTGCATCTTAATGTGTGAAAAGTACCCAGCCAACTGCATCCAAGGCAGTGTAGCGGGGGAGCCCAGCGTAGCAGAACTGAGAGGTCCTCTTCTTCCTCCTCTTGTCTCCATCCTCCCCTTTCTGAGAGCTAAAAGAGAAAGAATGTGATGTGAATAAATTACATATAAACTTGTATATTGATTTCATTTATTAGGATACCCATAAGCGACAGCTAGTCTTACTGGGGTCCCACACATGACGAAAAATACATTACAGACCAAATACTTTACAATTTACATACATTTAGAAACATTAACATGTAGTGTGTGTGCATCTACTAGTTACACATACAGTGAGCTCCATAATTCACTGGACAGTGACCATTCTTTTGTTATTTTGGTTCTGTACTCTAGCACTTTGAGTTTGAAAGGATACAATGACAATGAGGGTGAAGTGCAGACTGTCAGCTTTAATTTGAGGGTATTTTCATACATATCGGATGAACCGTTTACGAATTATAGAAGCTTTTGTACATGGTCCCCCCCATTTTCGGGCATCAAAAAACATTGGACAGTTTAACATAATGTAGAATAAAGTAATCATTGTTAATATTTGGTCGCATATCCTTTGCATGCAATGACTGCTTGAAGTCTGCGATGCATCGCCATCACCAGACGCTGGGTATCTTCCCTGGTGATGCTCTGCCAGGCCTGTACTGCAGCCATCTTCAGTTCCTGCTTGTTTCGGGGACTTATTGCCTTAAGTCTCCTCTTCAGCATGTAAAATGCATGTTCAATTGGATTCAGATCTGGTGATTGACTCGGCCAGTCAAGGTTTTTCCACTTTTTGGCCATCAAAAACCCCTTTGTTGCTCTAGCAGTATGTTTAGGGTCATTGTCTTGTTGCGTGATTAAGTGCCGTCCAATGAGTTTGGAGGCATTTGGTTTTATCTGAGCAGATACAATATTTCTGTAGACTTCAGAATTCATTGTTCTACTTCTGTCTGCAGTCACATCATCGATGAAGACAAGTGAGCCTGTTCCACTGGCAGCCATACAGGCCCAAGCCATAACACCCCCTCCACCATGTTTCATGGATGAGGTGGTATGCTTTGGATCATGGGCATTTCTTTTTTTTCTCCACACTTTTGTCTTTCCATCACTCTAGTACATGTTAATCTTTGTCTCATCTGTCCACAATATTTTTTTCCAGAACTCTTGGGGTTCTTTTAGGTGCTTTTTAGCAAACTGTAATCTTGCCTTTCTGTTCTTCAGGCTTATCAGTGGTTTGCATCTTGTAGTGTACCCTCTGTAGTCCTGCTGGTGTAGTCTTCTACGTATGGTAGACTTTGACACATCTACACCTGCATCCAGGAGAGTGTTTTTGATCTGTTGGGCTGTTATCAGGTTTTTTTTTCTTCACCATAGAGAGTATTCTCCGGTCATCCACTACAGTGGTCTTCCTCTGTCTACCGGGTCTTTTGACATAATTGAGTTCACCGGTTGTTTTTTTTCTTGTTAATGATGAACAAAACTGTTGACTTGGGCATGGCCAGGGTTTTTGCAATGTTCCTGAATGATTGATTTTCATTTCTGAGCCTTATGACGGCCAACTTCATTTGCATCGACACTGCTGTCTTCCTCATGTTGTCACACCCCAATAACAACCTCCAAAGGCAATAGCAACGTCTAGAATCATTACTATTCATCAACAGCTCTCCTGCATTCACTAACGACACAAATGAATACACCTGCCTAACGACACACATCTGTGAAGCCAATTTAACAAATACTTGTAGTACCTTAAAATGGGGGGACCATGTACAAAAGGTGCTGTCATTTCTAAACGGTTCATCCGATATGTATGAAAATACCCTCAAATTAAAGCTGACAGTCTGCACTTCACACTCATTGTCATTTTATCCTTTCAAACTGCTAGAGTACAGAACCAAAATAACAAAACAATGGTCACTGTCCAATGAATTATGGAGCTCACTGTACATGTCAGATTCCTTATCCCCTAGTTACTCTGCTGTATTAAACTATCACGGCAGGAGCCTCAATGAGACTTGAGAGAGGTTGTTTGTCCCCGTTTCCCCAACAGAACACTACACGCACAGCGGAGACTGGCCAGGGCCACAGGATGATGCAACCAGCTGCAAGGCTGGCAGAGCGCCTCACAGGAGGGGGGGCACTATAGAGGTTTGAAGGGAAGGAGGGATGCGGTACCTGCTGTCAGGGGAGTGACAGCCAGTGGAGAGGAGGGTGGAGGTGTTGATGACCTCATCCTCCACGTGGTGATTCTGAGACTGGCGCAGGGGGGCGTTGCCATGGCACCGGCTCAAAACTGGGGGCAGAGGGGTAAGAGATGGGTTTGTGATTGTGTATAGAAGAAGTTGACTTCATTCAGCAAAGCAGACATTTCAACAATTAGGTATAGCCTGGAAGATACAGGCTATTTCAGTATCAGAATGGTGCCGAGACTCCGATTTTTGACTTTAGAATGTATGTCAAACAAAAAACAATGATTGCAAAGTTAAACAACCCATACAACTCTATGAACAAAGACTACGTTTAACAACAATTTCCACTGAAAATTGTACTAAAACACATTTACTTGAACAGCGCAGATGCAACGTTTTGCAATCATTGGTTTTTGTTTGGCATGCATTTTAAAGTGAAACATTTTAGTCTCAGCATCATTCTGTTACTGTGTAATTGCCCTATTGCTAATACTGTCTGCATTTCTGCACGTTATAGTCACAGACACAGCACAAGCACTGTCCTTTTTATATTTGACATGCATTATAATAAAAGGCGCTCGAAAGTACTTGTGTATTCTGTGCAAATCAGGTCTTTCTCATTATAAAGATGTTCAAACAAACCACAATAACATAAGGAGGTGTCACCAAACAGGTTACAACAGTGGTTAGTTAGTTAGTTAATGTTATGCAAACACACCTCAAACCGTCTGAAACCAAAACAGACTTGATCACAGTTGGCAGGGTGGAGGCTGTGGCTCATCAAAGCACCCATAATAACAATGATAGCTATATGGAACATAAACTAGTATGGCCTAGTTAAGGCATAAACTGAGAATGTTTTAAAATAGACTTGCATTCTAGAACATGAGAGAACTTGTTAGCAAGCCTGTCAATGATTCTAACTGGTGCGCATAATAGCACTGTCATGACAAAAACTAAATATTAGCGAGCTGGATACCTCATTTGCAAATCTAACACATTATTATGAAACTTTTATAGACACTTCTAGCAAGCTTCGACGTGAGTGCATACACAAGGTTAGCTAGCTAGTACTAAATCGGAAATTATTGACAATTATATTTCGCTCACCTCTTCCAACAAACCCTTGTACTCTCCACATGTTTCGTTGTCCTGAAGTTAGTTTCAAGATGAATATTTCTCCATATTTGCCTTAAATTAGTGTCTTTAAAAACTCACTGGGTGAGTATTCTCGCCCCATGAGTACAGTAGCTCTAGTCTAGATACAAAAATAAAGCATGGAACGGTCACTGGTTATTTTGGAAGGAGGCAAGCTCGAGTAAGCAACGTCACCCGGAAATAGCAAAACTGCGGCTTCGCATTGCAGTCTAGCAACTTCTTCTTCTTCTTCTTCTTCTTCTTCTTCTTCAGTGGGGTTTACAGTATGGCGCATTACCGCCACCTACCGTACTGGAATGTGGGCCAGAGACAGGGAAAAACTAAATCCTACCTGCCAACCCCGTTTCTCTTAAAAAAGATAAAAATATTTGAGACTATATCTAATGACGTTTTGCTTAATATACTCTTTAAACTAATTTCCCGTATTCCCTTCTCCCTCATACTAAATCTCATCCTCTCTCTTTCCCTCTGATACTGCCCACACTGTAGCAATACATGCTCCACAGTCTCTATTTCCTGAAAATAATCACATATTCCTGATGGATGCTTTCCTATCACGTTTAATGTCTTATTCAACTGGCTGTGTCCCACCCTTAATCTTGTAAAAAGAGTCTCCTCTCTTCTGTCCCTTCCTGCCGTCCTCCCCTCCCCGACATTCCTCTGTACTTGAAATAAATGCCTTCCCTTATTATTTATATTCCACTGCTCCTGCCATCTCTGCACCATCACTGTACATATCAGTCTTTTTGCCTTTGCCTTGCTCATTGACACTTCAACATCAACATCCCCACTATTAAGTCCTTGTTTAGCCTGTTCATCTACAGCCTCGTTCCCCTCCACCCCCACATGGGCTAGAACCCAAGTAAATATTATCTGAATACCCATCTGTTTAATCCTGCCATGGGTTTGTAGCACCTCATAAAGCAGGTCTTGTCTGCTACGTGAGCTAAAGGACTGGAGGCTCATTAACACTGCACTTGAGTCAGAGCAAATAACTATTCTATCTGGCTTAACTTCCTCCACCCACTGCAAGGCCAACAGTATGGCCATCAGCTCCGCCGTATATACAGCCAGATGATCTGTAATACGTTTCCTGACTTCCACCCCACACTCCTGCACTACAAATGCTGGACCCAGTACGTCCTGTCCTTGGATCTTTTGAACCATCTGTGTAAATGGCTACAAAATCCTGATACACAGTTTCCAGAAGTCTCTTAAAGAAATCAGCAGGAACAACCCCCTCCCTATCTTTCTGTAGTCTCTCCAACACTTCTAAATCAACTACTGGAGGCGGGAGTAGCCATGGTGGATTTACAGGAATAACTACCGTTGGACTAAACTCCCTTCCATACAGTCCCATCTCCTTCGCCTGGATATTACCCACCCACCCAAAGCTTGTGTTCGGTCTTCGCTCATGTTCCCAGCATGCCTGTAAAATCCCTTTCGCAGGATGAGACACCCCATGTCCTTGTAGGTTGACCCAATAATTCATTGCCAGCTGCTGTCTCCTAATCTGCAACGGCATATCCTCCATCTCCACCTGTAATGCAGCCACTGGGGACGTCCGAAACGCCCCACTACATATTCTGAGTCCTTGCCCCTGTATGACATCTAGCCTTTCCAGTGAGGTCCGGGCTGCCGAACCATATGCTATACTTCCATAGTCTATTACAGATCGGATCAATGCAACATACATGGTCTTCAATGAGGAACGCCCAGCCCCCCACTCCTTCCCCGTCAGACAGCGCATCACATTTAGCACCTTCTTACACTTTCCCACCACTCTCTCAATGTGTTCTGCCCAGGTCAGTCTAGTATCAAAGTATACCCCAAGGAACCTGAAGGCCCCCACCCTCTCCAGGTTTCTCCCATATAACCTCAAGCATACGTCATCTCCCACCTTCCTCCTGGTAAAGAACACTGTTTGAGTTTTCTCTACAGAGAACCTGAATCCCCATCTAGCAACTTCTTCTTCTTCTGTGGGTTTTATGGCGGACTACAACCCAAAAAAGGTGAATTGCCGCCACCAACTGGACGGGTTGAAACCAAAACAAGGTAAAAATAAAATCCATACATAATAGGGAAACTAACTTAATCCACCAAAATAAAATTGTACATTGACAAAACAAAACAGAAAATCTCCATATCTCCCTTCTCAGGCACTAGGGCCTGAGTTGGTGGGACGGCTTTTGACAATATTCCATGTAACTCTTTCGCCATCTAGCGACTATTAGAACACGTTAATTCATAGGCAGAATTATACTGTCACAATCCACACAAATGAAAAGGTTCGTTGAAAATAGTTGGGGCCTCCTGAGTGGCGCAGCAGTCTAAGGCACTGCATCGCTAGAGGCGTTACTACAGACCCGGGTTCATTCCTGGCCTGTACCTAGTGATTTAGCAACTTTTCAGACTACCCTGGCCACATTTTTTTCAAACAGCACCTAGCAACAAAAAAATTATTTGGAACTTTTTGCAACTTTTGAAAAGTGACTCAAACCCTAAAATGCACGCATTTTCCCTCTAAATGACACAAAAACGATTTTATCTGTCAGACACTCAGTCACAACACACGTGCCTGGCTGCAAAAGTGCATTGTGAGTGATGACAGCATCAAGCGCTCAGCTCGTGCACAGGCAGCAGCAGGCCAGCCAAGCAGCACAACAACCTGGAGAGAGCTGGAGAGAGATCCCTAGCGCACACATCATTATTTGAGTTAAGTTGCTTGTTCAATAAGATAGCATATATACCTTGTTATTAGCTTGTACCTATAATTGTTGATCAGTTAGGTAGCACGTTAACTAACTAACAATACACTGCTTAAAACTATAATTGTTCAGCATGTGTAGGTTTACTAGTTAATAAGAAAATAAATAATGTGTCATGTGTAATTGTTCAATAACTCAATGTGTTGTGTTTAAAAATAAAAATATCTGATCATATAAAATGTGTTGTATTTATAGTACTTTTACAAATAAAAATATGTGATAATAAACAAACAAATCGAAACTAACAAATATCAAATCATATTTGTTGCCGAGATGGCCAGTCAATTTGAGTAACGTTATTGTGTATTCTAGGTAATGACGTAGTTTTACGTTATTACATAATGACATCGTGACGCAATGACATCACAACGTCATTTAGCAACTTTTAGCAACAAATCGACCTGCCTCTAGCAACTTCCCCAGAAAATTTGTTGGCAACACTGCCTGTGCCACAACCTGCGGTGGCCGGGTGTCCCGTAGGACTGCGTCGTCCGGGTTAGGGGAGGGTTTGGTCTGTGGAGCTTTACTTGACTCATTGCGCTCTAGCGACTCCCTGTGGCGGGCCGAGTGCCTGCGGGCTGACTCCGGTCACCAGTTGAACTGTGTTTCCTCTTCACACATGGGTGCGAGTGTTAAGGAGCACGGTTAGGCGGGTCATGTTTCGGAGGACACATGACTCCACCTTCGCCTCTCCAGAGCCCTTTGGGGAGTTGCAGCGATGAGACACTTGGGGAGAAGAATACTAAAATAATACTGTAAATAGTTACAAAGTGTAAAGACCAATTTTAAGATTGAATTTGTTTTTATGTAGGCCCCTCTATTCAATGAATTATGTGATTGTGAACTGATTGGTCGGTTTTAATTAATTGTTTGTCTGCTCTGATTGGTTGCAGGTGTGACGGAGAACGCACCTGTTTCCTACAAAATCACGCTGAGGCGTTTACTTCCTAGCAGAGAGGAAGAGGCGAAGTGAGAGGTTTTACTCTGCCAGAAAATAAGCCCACAAAGTGAGGAATTTTTGTACAAAGGTCAATGAGAGTGTCGAATTTGGTCAACAAAAAATTGAATTGTTAATTTGTTACGTGAGGTTTATTTGATTGAATATCAGTTTTGTAATGGATAGGTTGTTATGAATGTACTGATATAAGTGGACACACGTGGCATTTCGTCAACTTACCCAAAAATTGGTAGCGTGGACATTGCCATTGAGGGCTTCCACCATTTTAAAGTAGTCAACTGGGTGGGGATTCCTATGTGTTGGAAGCACTTAGCCAATGAAGTAGTAAATTGACTACTTTAAAATGGAGATAGCCTCAATGGCGCTGCCCATGCTGCCACAGCCGTTATAATGGCACAGATACAAAGATGAGGCCTCTAGCTATCTCTATAGCCTGTTGTTGACACGCGTATCTGCCCTCTCATTGGCTAGAATGGTCCCACCTGATCTCGCCTCCTCACGCCTGCCTTCCATCTTTGAGGACATGTATTTCCATTGTTAGAGCGGTCACTCTAATATCTTGTCAACATAACAGACAATCTTTGTCCAGTGAAACCAGCATTCCAGTCACCATTGATACATCTTCTATTCAGTCTGTGTTAATTGTACATATCCTGAATATAACTGACTAGTTTTAAAGGGATCCCAATTGAATATTGTGGTTGCTGTGGTACACAAATGCTTGTAAAGCCTCAGTTGATGTATTATCCCTTTGTGTTGAAGGCTCTGTAGTTATACCTTTCGTGGCAGTCTAAGCCTACAGCCTTGTTGTATTTATATTTTAATCGTGATTCATTGTTAATACATTCAATTGTGATTTTTCATACTGTTTTAGTATTTAAAAAATTATATTATCTGGAATCCTACTTTTTCATTCTTCCCGAGGAGTGTGAGATTGGCTCGTTCTGTGCGGTTTAATGAGGTACTAGCTGTTCTTTTCTTGTATTGGGGTAATGGATTGCCCCCTTAGGACAGCTCGGAGCACATCCTGGAAATACACACACACAAACATACGCATGATGCATGCATGGTTTTTTGCAGGTGTGTCTGTCTGACACATACAAAGGGTCCATTCCTGAACACTGGGTTTCCTGGCAGTGATTAGGTTACTGGTGTGGTGGATGGAGCTATTCTCTGTGCCTCTGTCCCAGGGTTAACACTGGGCGGATTCGATTATGCTGAGCAGCGGGGCATGGGGGATAGACCCCTCACGTCATCGGGCGAAAGCGGGAGGAGCGTCCTTCTACCATCTAACAGTAATCTGCGCCTCTCTGTCATTTTGTCAACAAGGCAGCATGGTGCATTGTCCAGAAACATACAAAATCTATTTTCCATAAAATAAATGACTGAATTTTCTAACTAGTTTTCATTGGGAAGGCAGATAAAGCGTTTTTATCAAAAGCAATCCCTTTTGCATGGGAAAAACAAAGAACCCTAGTAATTAATACACATGCTTAATTACATCACTTTTGTTTTGAGCTGACTTTGGGCCAAAGATTATGGATATACTGACAAGATACTCTCCGCCCTAACAATGGGAGTCGTTGGATTGGTGGATACATCTCATTATTGTAATCCTGTTTTGAATATTTGATGAGGGTCCTGTATTCAATGGAGAGAGATGCTTAGCCTCATCATGAATATGCATAGCCACAGTGATGTAGTGGTGGGTATACCCAGGTCAGTGGGCATTGCATATACTCACTTCTTAAAGGCACTGAATGATCAATCCGACATCTGCATTGGCCGTGCAGCATTTACGGTGATACGGCATCTGCAGAAGTCAGGGCATTCATACTTCTTGCCCTTCACGGAGCAGTGCAGAGCTGTTGTGAAGGAAGTTGTCAAGGAAGTGAGTTTGTGTTTATAAAGGACCTCCCGCCCTCACCTACCATCAACCTATCATGTCGATGGACAGCTATACGGAGCCCTCTGCATTGTTACAAATTTGAGTGCACAGCAATGCGGTACAGAGCTTGATTAGGCCTCAACATGCCTCTAGAGGCCCCACAATTGTGTCACACCCTCCATACAAAGCCTCTGACCACATTTTCAGCTTAATGAAATGCAGTGGAGAATTGTCCTCTTTTTGTCACTGTTCCATTTTCTTTACCCATCTTTCCCTTGTGCTGAAGTTTATGACTTTCTCACCACTTGCTTGTTCGTAAACAAATGGGTTGCCAGGCAACCGTGGCAAACACAGAGCTGGAGCTGGTTGTTAGCTATTTTATCCCCCCATCCCTCCCACCCTTCCACCTTCCCAAACCCGTCTCTCCCCTATACACCCATCCAAACCCCCTGACCGCCTCCCTTCATCTCAGGAATCTCAAGCCCTCTTCCTCTCATTCAGGTTTCGGGTGGTCCTCAGTATAAGAGGACTCTCTGGGTTCTGTACATTTCTGTAGGAAATGTCTCTGTGATCAGGATGGAATGTGTGTGTCTGCTTGTCTATGTATATGTTATTCAAAGGCCTTCTGATGGTGTCTGATGGTGTCTGCATCCTCAGAGTAGGAGACCTGGAACAGTATACATTCTGACCTCCCGAGTGGCGCAGTGGTCTAAGGCACTGCATCGCAGTGCTAGCTGTGCCACTAGAGATCCTGGTTCGAATCCAGGCTCTGTCGTAGCTGGCCGCGACTGGGAGACCCATGGGGCGGTGCACAGTTGTCCAGGGAATGGCCGCCATGTAGCTCAGTTGATAGAGCATGGCGTTTGCAACGCCAGGGTTGTGGGTTTGATTCCCATGGGGTGCCAGTATGAAGAATTATGTATGTACTCACTAACTGTAAGTCACTTTGGATAAGAGTGTCTGCTAAATATGTAGAAAAAAGGGTTCTTCTGCAGTTTCCATAGGAAAACCCTTTTTGGTTCCAGATAGAACCCTTTTTGGTTTCAGGTAGAACCCCTTTGGGTTCCATGTAGAACTCTCAGTGGAAAGAGTTATACATGGAACCCAAAAGTGTTCTACCTGGAACCAAAAAGGGTTCTTCAAAGGGTTCTCATATGGGGACAGCCGAAGAACCCGTTTAAGCACCTTTTCTTCTAAGAGTGTAGGGTATTAATATAACCCAACTCCTTTCTGCCCCCACCTTACTCCATCCTCATGCTCTATCTATGGCCTATTGAAATGTGTGTGTGCATGTGAATATTGTGTGTGTGTGTTTCCAACATGTGTGTGTGTGTGGAGGCGGGATGTAAGGAAGGCTATGGGGGGGCATGTTTTTCTCCCCTCTCTCCCCTTCTCTCACTCCATCTCCATGTACACACTGACAGAGGCTCAGTCTTGCTATGGCCACCACAACGGAGGAAAGCTTTTCTCTCCCGACCCAGCTAGAACCACACAGACCCGGCCCAGAAGCCATCCTGAGCCAGGACAAGACTATCTCAGACCCTTTCACCTTTCCCATCCCCGTCCCACCGCAACAGAGAGGAAGAGGAGGAAGGAGGTTATTCTTAACCAGGACTGGAGACTATGGGAGGCGAACACTCACACCCGGAGTGGGTTGAGGAAAGGTTCCGTTTTGATAGGAAGAAACTGGAGACCATGCTGTATGGTCAGTATGCTGAACAGGTGTGATATGGTGAACATGTGTGATGTGGTGAACAGGTGTGATGTGGTGAACAGGTGTGATTTGTTGAACAGGTGTGATGTGGTGAACAGGTGTGATGTGGTGAACAGGTGTGATGTGGTGAACAGGTGTGATGTGGTATTGTTATGGTTTGACTTTTAGTGTGGTCATATGTTGACCACGATGAATCATGGTAGTGCATGCTGTAAATCTGTACAGTTACCTGAGTTGACTCAAGTGTGTGATCCATTGTGAAATGAGTTCAGAGTCCAGTAATTGTTATGCTGTCCAGGGTTCTGCATAATGGCAATCCTGAGATGCCCTTAGTACCCGTCTGGCACAGTACCGCACTATTCAACTGTCAGGTCATCATGCAGCTGCTGTCATTGTTGTTAGGCATGGTTAAAGTTTCTGCCTTAATGATTTATGAGATAAGCTTGCTTGGTATTCCGAGATGTGTAGCTCAGAGACAGGGTGGTTAGTATCATTATTCCCATCCTGTCAGTCTGTGTTGTTCATCAGTGCAGAGCAGGTCTGTGATAAACTGCCTCCACTGTGTTGTTCATCAGTGCAAAACAGGTCTTTGATAAACTGCCTCCACTGTATCGTTTATCAGTGCAGAGCAGATCTGTGATTAACTACCTCCACTGTGTTATAGAGGAAACTCTGACAGGACAACTGAATAAGAGGCTGTTATTTTTCTCCCTCAGCCTAGATGTAGAGTATTTGTTTATAGTGTGTATGGTTTGTTTTATTGTGTGTGTGTGTTTGTATGTGTGTGTGTTTGTATGTGTGTGTGTGTGTGTGTGTGTGTGTGTGTGTGTGTGTGTGTGTGTGTGTGTGTGTGTGTGTGTGTGTGTGTGCGTGCGTGCGTGTATGTGTGTGTGTGAGGGAGGGAGAAAGAGGGACTGAGAGAGGGTGTGTTTGCATAGTGTTGTGAATAAGCCTCACAACTCTAATTGTGCACTGTGCCAGTCACACAGTTCTTGATAAACAGTGTATTCTCTTTCCCCCTGAGTGTTAGCATGCTAGCGAGCAGTGTATTCTCTTTCCCCCTGAGTGTTAGCATGCTAGCGAGCAGTGTATTGGTGCTGACATCTGGGATGTTGGGGTTTGAATAATCACTATAGAGGGATGGGTTTCGTAGTTGTTTTTACATCAGGTTCTAAAGCGTGTCAGTGTTTGTTATTTAATTTCTGGTGGGGTGGAGGGTCCATGCGCCAGTGAAATACCTTTGATGTGATTAGCTGTCTCTGGGGCTGGCTTTTGGTGCCCCCCTCCCCTCTCTCTCAGCTCCATGCTGCTCGCTCGCCCATTCTTTAGCTTAGAGGAGCGTAACCCATGGCGCTCAGCAGGTGGGGTGTTTTGAGCCCCCACGCTGTAAATGTAATTGTGGAGCGATGCCCTTTTAAAATGTTTACGTTCTACCCCACGTCCCCCACTTCTCTGCAAATTTCAACTCTCCCTTTTAAATGTTGACCCTTCGCAGAACTTTCATACAGTACTTCTCTCCTTTCAGGTGAGTGTCGCATAGACACAAACAAAGCATTAACCAGTAACCCTGTGTATGGATTATTTGGTGTTTTTTGGATGTTTAAATGTTTGTACTTATTTACACCTCAGATTTTGGCCAATAAGTGACTCTCTCTTTCCTTTCTTTTCAATATTCTTCAGTTCCCAAACATGGAGAGGGACTTACTGGTGAAGAGTTATTTGAGAGAGTAAATATGAAGAGAGAAGACCACATTGACACTGAGACAGATATAATGGACGGTTGAAATACAAATATAAAGGCTCATATTCATACAATGCAGAAATAATGAACATACATCTAATCTTCCCATTCAAATATGACTCACTGACGTGAAAATACCTGCATGTAAAAGTCTACAGATTTCCCAGAGGACCTCTGTATAGAGAACATGAAAGGTCACAGGCTGACTGTTGACATTGTTACTCAGCGATTTGGCGTTGTTATGGTAGCGAGGATGATTGTCTTTGAGATGGTAATGAAGCATTGTCTTCTCTGAATAGGACAATGGGTTTTGGTGTGTATTGTGTGTGTGTCTGGGATGTATAAACTGGTGTTATTCTCGTGGTAAAAGGCCTGTCTTTCACACTCCATTAGTTTCTCTGTCACTCACACATCGACATGTCTTCCTCTCACATTTTGTCTCGCAGGTGATGATGGAAACTAACACCCAGGTGAAATGGCCATCCAAGCTGAAAATAGGAGCCAAGTCAAAGAAAGGTGATTTCAGACCACCTGATACCTCCATACTCCAACAACCTGTCTCAACCTGTCTCAATCTGTCTCAACCTGTCTCAATCTGTCTCAACTTGTCTTAACCTGTCTCAATCTGTCTCAACCTGTCTCAACCTGTCTCAGTCTCTCAACCTGTCTCAGTCTGTCTCAATCTGTCTCAACCTCTCTCAACCTGTCTCAGTCTGTCTCAATCTGTCTCAACCTGTCTCAACCTGTCTCAATCTGTCTCAACCTGTCTCAGTCTGTCTCAACCTGTCTCAGTCTGTCTCAATCTGTCTCAATCTGTCTCAACCTGTCTCAGTCTGTCTCAATCTGTCTCAACCTGTCTCAACCTGTCTCAATCTGTCTCAACCTGTCTCAGTCTGTCTCAATCTGTCTCAACCTGTCTCAATCTGTCTCAATCTCCTATACAACTTGATATTTTATACAATACTAAAGATTTACCAGAGTCTGCCAGCTACTACATATATTTTAGATTCATTTCTGTCTTGTATCTATACCACAGACCCCCATGTGAAAGTGGAAGGCAAGCGTGGCAATGTTCTAGTGGCCAAAAATAACTTCTGGAGACAAAGTTAAGTGTCCTAAACTGAGATTTAATCCTATACCTAACATGTAATGTAGCCAAGTAAACCGACTATATACAGTTAGTAAAAAAATCACGTTCTCCTGAGTCAGGTCAACAAGGTGACCCTGAAGATGGATGTGGCTCACACAGAGCACTCTCATGTGATCGGGAAAGGGGGCGGGAACATCAAGAAGGTGATGGAGATGACATCATGCCACATCCACTTCCCTGACGCTACTGGAGAGAAGAGCAACCAGGTACTGTCTCTAAGCAACCCGCAGCTGTTCCTTAGCAACTGTCTCTAAGCAACCAGGTACAGCCTCTTAATAACTGGGTATTGTCCCTTAGCAACCAGAGGGCGATATTACAAAGCAGGATCAATGAGTTGACCAGCTAACTTGCGTAAATATTCTGAAATAGCTTAAATAATAGCTTCAAAGTTAGCTGGCTATCTCATTGATCCTGCTTTGTAGTATACCCCTGAAGTACTGCCCGTTAGTTATTAAACTTCAGCAACTTTATTTTGTTTCTCCCTCATCTCTCTCTACCTCTCCTGTCCAGGTTTCCATCGCTGGGCTTGTCCAAGGGGTGGAGGCAGCCAGGAAGAGGAAATGAGAGTCTCTAACGTTACATCTTAATGCATGGATGGCTTTTATTTCACATTATTTATGTGATCTATACATCATCATGACCTCTCACCCCTCTCTCTTCTCTGCCCATCAGGACCTCCAGCCTCTGGTGTTGACCTTTGACCTTCCGGTGACCCTGGTACCCCAGGCCCTGCCGGACGCAGTGTTGCCGGTCATCCAGCAGGTGGCACAGGCTCTGGGGATCAGCATGAGCTTCAGGGCTCAGCCCAGACTTTATAGCAGCTGCTGTGTGGTCAGAGGACTGAGTCTCACAGATATACAGAGAGCCGAACACGCACACACACACCACACTTTCCCCTTTCTCTGTCTCACTGTTTTCTCTGTTTCTCTGTGACTTTTAGATGCACTTCCTTACATTAATAAAGAGAAACCTTGACTACATTTACATTTACATTTTAGTCATTTAGCAGACGCTCTTATCCAGAGCGACTTACAGGAGCAATTAGGGTTAAGTGCCTTGCTCAAGGGCACATTTACGTCATTTAGCAGACGCTCTTATCCAGAGCGACTACAAATTGGTGCATTCACCCTATAGCCAGTGGGATAACCACTTTACAATTATACTTTTTTTTTTTTTTTTTTTGGGGGGGGTGTAGAAGGATTACTTTATCCTATCCCAGGTGTTCCTTAAAGAGGTGGGGTTTCAAATGTCTCCGGAAGGTGGTGAGTGACTCCGCCGTCCTGGCGTCGTGAGGGAGCTTGTTCCACCATTGGGGTGCCAGAGCAGCGAACAGTTTTGACTGGGCTGAGCGGGAACTATGCTTCCGCAGAGGAAGGGGAGCCAGCAGGCCAGAGGTGGATGAACGCAATGCCCTCGTTTGGGTGTAGGGACTGATCAGAGCCCGAAGGTACGGAGGGAATAATAATTGAATAATAATTGGGAATAATAATAATAATAAAGGGAATAATAATTGAATATGATTAATTATTAGCTCTGCACACATTACTTTCCCCCTCTAACTCTGCCCTTCTCTCTCCCTACCCTAACAGAAGGCAGTGTGTGTCCTGATGGAGCTGATGCTGGGGTCAGAGGTTGGGGCTGGGGGTCAGGGCGGGGTCACGGGGGTGGTCAGCCCCCAGCTGGACGTGACCTCCCAGCAACACCTCTTCCTGCTGGGATAGAATGGAGCACACTTCCTGGGGGTCAAGCATCAGACCCAGACCCAGATAGTCCTGCCAGACCTCAGCGCCCCTCAGAACCCTCCCTCACTCATCCAGGGCAGCCCAGACGGAGTATGTCTGGCCAGGCAGCAACTCATGGTGAGGAGGGTCACAGTTCACTTTGCTCTTTGTAATGGTTAATTGATAGATGAGATGAACTCTGACCACATGCTGGTCAGCAACGGGCTGACCAACTACTGGCTCAACATGCTGCTGCAGCAACTCTGCCTCTCCGACCCCAGTGTGTGTGTCTTTTCATATACTGGTATGTATCAGGGGCTTTTTCTCGTTTGGGCAATGTCCTCTGCTCTCTCTCCGTCCTCTCTCCTCCGATCTTCTCCTCCACCTCTTCCTCCGTCACTCTCCTCTGTCCTCTCTCCTCCGTCCTCTCTCCTCCACCCTCTCTCCTCCGTCCTCTCTCCTCCATCCTCTCTCCTCCGTCCTCTCTCCTCCGTCCTCTCTCCTCCACCCTCTCTCCTCCGCCCTCTCTCCTCCGCCCTCTCTCCCCTGTGTCTCCTCTCCTCTGTCCTTTCTCCTACGCCCTCTCTCCTCCATCCTCTCTCCTCCACCCTCTCTCCTCCGTCCTCTCGTCCTCTCTCCTCCGTCCTCTCTCCTCCGCCCTCTCTCCTCCGTCCTCTCTCCTCCGTCCTCTCTCTTCGTCCTCTCTCCTCCGCCCTCTCTCCTCTGTCCTCTCTCCTCTGTCCTCTCTCCTCCGTCCTCTCTCCTCCACCCTCTCTCCTCCACCCTCTCTCCTCCGCCCTCTCTCCTCCGTCTTCTCTCCTCCGTCCTCTCTCCTCCGCCCTCTGTCCTCTCTCCTCCGTCCTCTCTTCTCTGTGACCTGGAAACCGAGTCGAGGAGCGTTTCAATTCGTTAGTAGGCAAATGGAAGAAGGTCCTCCCCTCCTCAATAGCCTCTTTTTGGCGAGGAAGCACAAGTGTGTCCTACCGCGGAAGAGTTTTGACGTTTGCCACACCCCCTTTGAATCAGCTGTTGTATTCTCGGAGGAGAAAAGCATGCACACATTTAAAAACGATATGCTACTTATCCTTTTATCTGTCTTGTCTTGCACAACTAACTTCACTAGTTTTTTCACTTTACACATTTATTTTGGGATCCACCCCTAAAAATGTGATTTGCCTGATGACACGCGAGTGGAGAAGGAGATTCTCATTTCATACAAGCACATTTTTGTCCACGTTCACTCACCTTGCCACCTCTCCTCGATTACCTTTGACCTTTTTCAAAAGGAGGCGAGAGAGGATGGAGGAGAGTGGACGGAGGTGTTGAGCAAATCTAATTGAGAAAAGGCCCCAGTCCTATCCTGTCCTATCCCATCCTGTCCCATACTATCCTGTCCTATCCTGTCCTGTCCTATCCTGTCCTATCATGTCCTATCCCAACCTATCCCATCCTGTCCTATCCTGTCCTATCCTGTCCTATCCTGTCCTATCCTGTCCTATCCTGTCCTATCCTGTCCTATCCTGTCCTATCCCATCCTATCCTGTCCCATCCTAATCTGCTCTTCCTTTTCCTCAGGCTCAGTGCCAGCCCCGAGTCTTTGATTGGCGCTCTTTCCCAAACTAAGCCCTGCCCGTCGCCCCCACCAGGCCTGACTCTGCCCTCTGAGGGAATGAGGATGGGGCTGAAGGGGACAGAGAGCAGGCAACTGGAGAAGGTGTGGAGAGATAGGGTCACCATCAGATAACAGAATCAATACCTGTAGCCCTCTTGACTACCAAGTTAAGTGCAGTACTGTGAGAGTTTGACAGTGTGAGATATAATGTATTGCACAGGAGGTTGGTGGCACCTTAATTGGGGAGGACGGGCTCTTGGTAATGGCTGGAGCGGAATAGGTGGAATGGTATCAAATACATCAAACACATGGTTTCCATTGGTTTGATGCCATTCCATATGCTCTGTTCCAGACATTATTATGAGCCGTCCTCCCCTCAGCAGCCTCCACTGATGGATTGAAACAGTTGTAAGGTGTTTCCTTGCAGGGGATTTGATTCTGCAGTTGTCCTGAGGGTGGTGCTATTGGATCAGTAGAGTATCAGGTTTGATCAATGAGAGCACCTCTGTTTACCCAGATCCCAGAGAACGAGGATCTGTCCGGCCTGTCGTACGAGGACGAGAGCCCTGGTCCGATGACATCAGAGCTGAGTGATGTCATGAGCCAGGTCAGGATGATGAGTCGGAGGAGCAGCCTCCAGGGTCCTGAAGTCTGCGGGTTCCTCAACCAGGGGAGACGCCAGTCAACAGGCCAGGCCATGACCAGGAGGTAAATACATTCACACTAGGGAGGGTAAGATGAAGTTGTCCTTAGGGACAATGGTTGAGGTTGGGATTTTGTTTGGATAGTCCCAAATATTCCATGTGGATTTGATCTTAGATGAGGGCAAGCCAATCACACTTGAGCAAAGTTAGCCCCTGTTCTTTCAGAATAGAATGAAAAACAAAAAACAAAACATTTGCACTTTATCTTAATTTATTGTGCGTTTAGCCTTTTGTGCGGCCGTGAATGTTCTGCCTGGAAAATAACGGGAGAATTTGGAGCTGCAGTGCTGTTTGCTGCAGTTTAGCGATACTCTCATGATAAATAGTAATGTCAGAAAGGTATTGCATTTATTCAATCCCTCTCTTCAGTATCAGGTCTCAACAGCCCTTGGATTAGCTGGGAGAGCTACTTAGCTAAGTGAGTCCTACAAACAGCCTTCACGCTGCGTAGCTCAGACCTGACCTTGGTCTCACTACTGCCGCTCTGTTGCAGACTGCTGGATGGAGAGATGGAGGGAGGATGGAGTGAGAGACGGAACAGCCTGAGAGAGATGGAGGGAGGGAGGATTGATACTAGATGGAACAGCCTGAGAAAGATGGAAGGAGGGAGGAGTGAGAGACGGAACAGCCTGAGAGAGATGGAGGGAGCACGGAGTGAGAGATGTAACAGCTTGAGAGCGATGGAGGAAGGGAGGAGTGATACTAGACGGAACAGCCTGAGAGAGATGGAAGGAGGGAGGCATGAGAGATGGAACAGCCTGAGGAGGGACGTGACTCAGACTCAGGACACTCTCTGTGACGCATCAAGGAATGAGGTGAGACTCTCACTCTGATTTAGAATGATTCATATTCATTAACAGGTTTTGTTGCATATTTGTCATGGATGAGGTAAGTTCCAACTCTCCCCAGCCAGAAATGAAACAACCCCAGAGCAATATAGAGGAGCATGTTATATGTGACACTGTAAACTGTGTCACCAATTGATTTGACCCCTTTGCTTTCTTTGAGCCTCACGCAATCAAATTTGAAGAATTAGATTTTTGTGTGTTTGTGCTACAGTAGTTGTTTTTGCCATCATTTGTCCACTTGGTGCCCCAAAGGTTACCATGGGGATAACATGTTTATCTCCACGGTAACAACAGGAAGTGCCAGTTCGAGTCATCTTCTGTTCTCTCAGTAAATCAGGTTCCCTTCCAGAACACATCAGTCACAGAACAACCTAACTGCATTTCCTCCCTTATTTACCGGCTTCATCCAACTTTTCCTGTTGTTGCAGGATTACGACTATGAGATGAAGAAACTGCTGGCAACCCAAGGTGAGACCTTCTCAATGTTCATGCTTCTGCCTTGTAGTGTGAACAGTAGCCCAGCAGGTCTCATTAACAACATCACCTTGGTTTATCCAGGGTTCAGTCACACACAAAAGTCCTATTTTCGGACTTGTAGAAGAGTCCCACTAAGAGGCACCCATTTTACTTCTGCGCCAGCCCACCATTGCAAATCAGAGCACCCACTTAGCAGCTGCACCTGGCCAAATTAGTGGCATGTCATTGGGATATGCCACTTGCCACTGTCTGCTATTGAGAGACAAGGCAGCTCTTGTTTGTTATTCAGATCAGTGATGGAGGGAACCCATTAATGTGGGACTATGAGCCAGAGCGTTGATAGAGGAGACCCGTTTATGTGCTGCACATTGCCAGAGAGGTGATGGAGGGGACCCACTTATGGGTTGCACCGTGCCAAAGTTATAATAGAGGAGCATTACTACTCCCGCTGAATTTACACACTCTGGTGTCTGTTACACTCAGGCAGATACACACACACACACACAGACACACACACACACATACATCAGACACTCGTATATGAATTATATGCTTATGAGATTCTTCGCAAAGCATTCTGTATCAAACACTGTTCTTTATTAGTCTATCTGCATTATTCACCTGACAACAACAGCATACCAATTAAACCACTGCCTGTCTGGTTGAGTGATTTATAGTAACTTTGTGTGCATGTTTTTTTGGGGAATGTGTGTGTTTGTTTTTGTATGGATAGCTAATCTGTCTATGTGTGCATTTACACATGCAATCTAATTCTGATCTTTTGCCAATTATTAGTCTCGTGACCAGTCAGATCAGAATTTCCCCAATTGGGCTGCCTGTATAAACGCAGCAAAAGATCAGAATTGTGCTGCCTATGTAAACGCAGCCTGTGTGTGTGTGTGTGTGTGTGTGTATGTATGTGTGTGTGTGTGTGTGATGTATTATATCTGTACTCTCAGAGGAAGCCGGTGGTGACAGAGGTTCGGACCCCCACTGATACCTGGAGTGGTCTGGGCTTCTCTAAGTCCATGCCTGCCGAGGCCGTCAAGGAGCTAGGCAACATCAGCCGACAAAGCTACAAACCCTACCTGGCAAACACTGGACAACTACAACAGGTACTACTCACCCGTAGAGCAACCACCTACTACTGTCATCTTGCCTGGTTAGAAGTGAAGAAAAAAGAAGACTTCAACTGTTTCACCTGTACTAGGATTATCGTCTAAGTGCCTTTACATCAACAAACAGATCACTACAACTGTACGTCTTCCATGGGCTTGACCTGTCCTCTCAGTCTCCACCAGGCAGGGTTTATTATCAGCCATTGAGCAGCTGCCCTCTCTGAATGCTCTGTGGCCAGTCACTGAACACCACACTCATTTGGGTTAATAAATACTGTCTGATCATTTCTGTGTTGTTTTGCGTGAGGGAATTTAGGAGTGAGTGTGTGCGTTTCGCCTAAGCGCCTGATTATTTGTAGCGAGCTAGGAGAGGCGTTGAGCTGGGCAAGAGCTTGTTTAATAATATGATTATTCTCAGTGCTGCTTGGCTCGATTGGTATTCCTGCTCTGAGAAAAACAGAGTGGAGGAGACAAACTGTGAGCACCAATTACAAACCTGTCTCATCCACTCATTCTCATAGGGAAGGAGAGAGTGAGTGAGAGAGAGAAGGAGAGAGTGAAGGAGAAAGGGGAGCGGAGGAAAAGTGAGAAACAAAGCGATGGATGAATTAAAAACATTGAGAAGATAAAAAAGCTGAATATATGCAATTAAACCCCATCTCTTTTCCTCTCTCTTTCTCTCTCTGCAGACCTGGGGCCCTCAGAATTGGAAGAAAAAAGTGTAGAACGGCAGTGACTCAGAGAACTAGCGTGACAGACAAGGATCCTCGTCTTCATCCTCCCCAATCTCCCCCTCTCCATCTTCCTCATCCTCTTCCTCCCCCTCTAACTTCTCTTCTTCCTTCTCCTCCACCTCCTCCTTCCTGGTGTTTGCGTCTTCAACAAACAGACCCCGAACGTATAAAACCTGTAAGTGTTGTTGTGTGTGTGTGTGTGTGTGTGTGTCTCTAAGAGACTGTGTGTCTACAAAGAGAAAATGTAATGAAATGCAATTCCTGTGTCTAGCTAATCTTCAATGTAGTCGGTATCAAAGCTGTGCTTGAAATGTCTTCCATCTGAGAGTTACAGAGAGATGTGAGAAGACTTTGTTATGCTTTCTGTCTCCACAGTTCCTTCTGTTAATCTTTTACTTCCCCATCTCTCCTTGATCTTTTCACCTTTGATTTCTGACCGCTGACCTCTGACTCCAAGCGGAGAGCTTCCTGACCTGCAGTAACTACTTTGAGGGCGTGTCCACGGTGATGAGGTTGACCGGTAGCCAGCGGAACCCCTCCCCCCAGCCTACAGACGACCTCCCAGAGCTCCTGAGCCAGCTGGGTCTGAGGAAGTACATCAACGTGTTCCAACAGCAAGAGGTACAGACAGACAAACAGCTAGCGCCCCCTGGGGTATAGGAGTAACAGATAAATGTCTATACACAGAGGGTTATCTGTTGAAGTAGCCTCCATAAGCAGGATTGACTGAGTTGTTTCCGGAGGCACAGCGGCTGACTGAAAGAGCATTCTGAGTATGTCTTGTATAAGTGAAGTGTGGTGGATGTGTAAGCAACAGGACTGTCATGCCCCCTATTTCTGCAGATTGACTTCCAGACCTTTCTGACTCTGTCTGACGAGGATCTGAAAGAGGTGGGAGTGTCCATGTTTGGAGCGAGAAGGACAATGCTTTTGTCCATCTCAGGCGATTGATCGCAAAAAACACCATATACATCCAACCCACTTTTCCCTGAGGCTTACATGTGATGTATAGAACATCTCTCTCTCTCCATCCATCCAGACCTGAACAAAAGCAAGAGGAAACTGTCAGAAATGCCCGCTGTGAAGCCAGGCTACCTGGTAGGCGGGGCTAGTGACCAGCTCCCACGAATCATGGATGAGGACACAGCGGCTTAGTGCAACCACTGGTGAACCCCACACAACATTACCCAACCTGGGTAGAACTGCCTGTAAGAACAGGTGTAAGATCAGATTGGCTTTCACATATCCTAGCCTTGGTGTTAAACCCAACATTGACCTTAGATCAGTGTCTACACTGTGTTGTGAAGTCCACTGTTAACTACATACTGTATATGCATTGTACATAAACATACAAGGGTAAATGAGAATGATTATTACATTTTTCCAATAACTTGCCACCTCTTTTTTGTTGTTTTTTACCTGAGGACTCAACCAAATGTTTCTCAAACATTTTTACATTTAGCAGACGCTCAGGGAGCGACTTACAGTAGTGAGTGCATACATTTTAATACTTTTTTTGTACCTGTTCCCCGTGGGAATTGAACCCACAACCCTGCCACTGCAAGTGCCATGCTCTACCAATTGAGGTACACAGGACTACGAACCAATCTGAATGAAAACCTCCCTTGAAATGGCCTGTAGAGTAACAAAGGTTTTGGATGTCTATGTTAGTACGTAAAGTAACTCAAATAGGTGCAAACAAGAGAAGGATCCACAGCTAGAGCACTGACATTACAGACTGTAGATTTGTTTGTAGATTCAAGTCACATTCCCCACTCCTCATTATTGCATCAATAATTAATTATAAGTCCATTTCAGATGGAGATCAACCAGCAATGACATTAAATAGAGCTTGATGGACAGCCTGGAGTTGGGTTGACGCTATATGAACCCTCAGATAAATGAATGAATAAAAGAAAAGGTTATTATTCCATTTATCAGCTGTTGGCAGGCGAGAAGCCATTGCCTCCGTATATGAGTCGTTTCCCGTTTAATTGATTTAGAATTGCTAGGCTAGATTGACGCGTTTTATCCTAGCAAAATGAAATGATTTGGTTGTCATTTTGAAGTGAGAACTATCTTGCCATCGTTTCAATAAGGCTATGTGCACAAGGCTTTGATAAACATTTCATATACATTATGGATAACCTACAAGCAGGGCCGTAGGAGCGACTCTGACATTGCAGGGGGACACATTTTGCTAAGGAGATAATATTTTCTTAAAACAAGTTTTAAATGCTCATTTCTAGAGACTTTCGAGAAAATGATACAGACAAATATTAATTTACAAGGGCATATTTACAAGGCTATAGGGGGCCGTACAGAGGAGCAGGTACTCTGTTACAGTCCAATCAGTCTTAGGGCCATGGCCATTCATACTGTACTGAATACCAGTGTGACTGTAATGTGGACATATTCAATTAAACAACAATGTTGTACTCTCTGCTACTGTATGATTCATTTCCTAGTATTTGTCTCACTTCGCCAATATCAGGTTGTTACTACTGCTACTCTACATACTGTATGGTTTGAGACTTAACATCATATTTTCTACTTATAATACAGTTATTATACTGTAAAAACAACCAGCAACATACACAGTTAAAAACTGTTATAGATTTTTTTTAAAGTAGGCATGAAAGGTCAAACTGAAATGAATCAAGCTCCACTCTACAAAATTATTTTTTTAAAAATCTGCCTGTCTCCTGCATGAAGTTAACACATGCAATATACCCTCTAGACTTAAGCTGCTATCATTTCATCAGAGATCATATATGATCATTCAGATTGAGTCACACTATGACAGATCATCTGTGAACTATGAGCTTGGAGAGGCACTTCTTACTATCTTACCTGTTTGCTTGTGGCCTCATTCTCTCTCCCTCTCTGCCTGTCTGTCTGTCCGTGGGTATCATATTGGCTGCCTCTCTCCTGCATTAAGTTAACACATGCAATACACCCTCATGAGGGGCCTCAGTGGCTCTTGGGTCTGCATACCCACATCCATACCCACACATGCAGTCAGAAATGTGCCATTAGGGCCTTTTGGGGGCCCTAATGGCACATTTCTATACAGGATTTACTCCAGTGTTTTACCCAATAGGCTCAGTCTTTTCTGTTTCCATCTACGCGGGCCGGCACCCGTGTCCACTGGGCCATGGCTCCGGCGGACCTGCTCTCACTTGGGGCCAAAGCCAGACCACTGGTACTTTTCAGCTGGCATTTACATAACAATGACCAACTGTGAACTTTAACACCTCACAAAGCAACTATTTTGATTCTGCAGAGGTTGTTGATTCTGCTCTTCTCAAGTCCTCACTGTCAGCCCAAGCTATCTGAACACAATTTCCCTAGTATAACATAAGGGTGCCAGGGGTTCCCAAACTTTTTTGGCCCGCGACCCATTTTGATATGTAAGAAAATTGCGACCCCACCACGTAAACAAAGTGATGTAATCAACGGCCAATGTTTACTTTTATAACTGGGGATATGACAGTCTATTACAAATCAGTTTGACAGGACTTTTGACAGTATTTCAGTCTGAAGGAAGTATGGTTTGAAGTGACTGAAATGCATCAGAAAGGTATTGGGATGTTCAGAAGATCATCAGGCAATCATTTTGTTTGATATTGATGATGTTCTTTTCCCCCCCAGGCTGATTTAGTGCCTGGTCTTGCTCACTCTGTTCTGTTCTATTGAGGCTTGTGGACGTTGTAGAGGGAAACAGAAGACACGTACGTGTTTCTGAGAGTCTTATCTTTCAGCGATGGGGTCATAATATTTTGTAGTTTAAACCGATCAGAAGATAGAGCCACATTTGTAGGAAGAAAACAGAAACCTCTCTGTTTATTACAACCACATCTAGCGGCTACCGGAGGTTATTGACGTTACCCTGGTTCTATGAACCAAGTACAATTATTTTATTTCATTTCAGAGTTTCTCTACCCCATTTATAAATCAGGCGACCCCATATGTGGTCGCGACACCTAGTTTGGGAAACGCTGGTGTATACACTAGTGTCACACTGGTGTTACAGTCGAAAAGCAGCAAAAGTTCAATTTTGTTGGGGAACCCCCCCCCCCCAACTATTGAATCTTGCAAGATACTGTTCTTAATTATACAACTACCTTTTTTGCCAAAGCTGAGATGCAGAATAAATATCTATATCGGTCAGCTAATACAAGTAAAGGCCCAGTGCACAACTTTGGTGAAAAACATCTGATTTTTCAGGGGGTGCTGCAGCACCCTGAGCAGCCCTACTTCCCGCGGCTGTGCCCCTGCCTACAAGTAAGGCCTATACAAAGCAAAGTAAAGCAAACCAATTGATAGGCTATCCACCCACCCTCAGGACTGGACCCTTCATTGCATCAGTTTTACGGGTTTTTCAGACATCCAAATCGGGATGCATAGCATATAGCTTAGAGCCTGTTCCACATAAGCCTTCTCCTTCCGCCTCGTTTCCCCTCATTGCACAGGTGGCACTGCCATTGCATGTCTGCAGTCACACCGGGCACCGGATAGGCTATATATAGCCCTGGGAGCGACAGCCGCTCAGAGTGAAGGCATGTCGGCCTGCCTCAACCCAGAGCCCGGAGAGATGAGAGAGTAGGTGGAGGGAGTCGGTTGGGAGAGATGATCCCTGCATATTATAATATAACGAACGTGCCCGCATGCCGCAGGCCATAGGCGTGAAAAAGAGACACATTGTTCGGACCCGTTTTCCTTTGTCTGCTATTCTATGTTATAGGCCTGTGCTATATTGGCCTAGGCTTTACAGGTTTGTTGTTTCCCAGTTGAGTTCCTTAGTGCTCCCCCCGTGACATCGTGCGCTGCGCGTGGTGCTGAAGGGACAGCCGTGCTGAATGAACAGCGCTCGCGAGTCTCTACAGTGGGTCAGAAGGCGACTCGCGCAGGCCACATCTTGAAATCGGAGACAACTCGAGGCTACATGAAATAGACCAATATTAGATAATAAAGATAATTGTAAAGTTTCAGATATGTTCACAGTGCTTAATGCTATAAAAGCCTTCACGTTTCATGTAACCCATATGTAGGAGGACTACTCGAAGGTGCACTCTAAAGAGGCTGCCTACTCGGCTCGCATTTTGATGACCAGAAGAGAGTTCTCTGGGGATAACAATAATCCATCACCAAAAACATATCCTTCTTATTGGTAGTCTTATCACCTGGAAATCTTGCCTTGAAACAACAAACATTCGCTTATTCCAGTGTGAATGCACCATTCCCTCCGTTGTAAATCAATGACACACCAACTCTCTGCACTGCAAAGAGAAAGAGAGAGGGAAGAGGGGGGAGAGGGAACAGGGGAGGGAGAAATTGAGGTATAGAGGAGGGTGAAAGAGTGAGTGAGGGAGAAATTGGGTGATGGAGAGAGAGAGAGAGAGAGAGAGAGAGAGAGAGAAAGAGAGAGAGAGAGAGAGAGAGAGAGGGGCGGAGTCTGAGCGGACTGGTTACGGAGGGGGAGGAGAGAGACAAGTTCTGAGGCTCGTTCCTGCTGCTCCCGGTCGGCGTCAGTATTACCGCTGAGTTCGGAGCTACCGGAGGTCCCGTGGATTCTCAGCCTACTCTACCGGACCGATAAGCCGTCTAACTGACACCCGCAGAAACTTCACTCCTGAGCCCTCTGTTTCCCCCGGAAGTTGTACACAAGCTATCCGAGGTAGGTGGACGGGAGAGCGGGGTCTGAGTTTGGACCCGTGGCGACAGATTTGTATGTAGAGATGAGAGGCAGAGGAAGATAGGCTACGTAGTCTATGTATTTCTGGTAAACTCCTGCTTTGGTAAGAGGAGATGAGAGGGGCGCGCGCTCCAAGGAGACGGTAATTGTGTTTAAGGCTGTTAATTGCCTGTTTATCTGGCGGAGAGCCTCTCGAGCTAATCGTTTCCCGTGCTCCATCTGCCACCGTGTACAAAAGCGATATGTCTCCAAATGTTTATAATCAGTTTAAGAGGAGGAACAGCAATTTCATAAGAGGCACTCCAGTATTTAGTCAATCTAATTCATCCAATCTAATAGTTTGAATAACATCCTGTCCTCCTCCCTTTTTGATGCAGATATTTACATCATTAAATTAATATTCAATCCCTGATACTAAGTACAGGTGAATTAACGTCTAGGTGCGTAGGCTGCATTG